TAGCTAACATGGCAATTAACACACATGATGCAAAGTAGTTAAATAATATAAGTGTTATTTAAAGTTTAGTACTTCATTAACTAATGTTCAGTTGGCATTAGTTAACTGCTTAATAATTCATTAAATAATATGTTTAGTAATTTTATATAATGCATTAAAGCAGTTGTTAACACTTTGTTCAATGGTTTATTAATGCTTAATAATGCACTAGGTAATATTAATAAAGGGACCCTTGTTGTAAAGACTTACAGAACATGGACGTTTCTGTTTAGATAATAATCAGTCTGATTGTTTCAGAACTATGATTAAACAAAGACTCCTCGCTCAGCTCTGTGCTTGAATGATGCTTTGATAATCAGAATTGGGTTTAGTTGGGAGTTGCGGACAGCTCTTCGTGTCAGGAGCCGACCTGCGGGGGAAATAGTTTCCTGTCTCTGAGTGAGGTGTCTGTGACAGACAGATTCCTGTCTCGACTCTTCTGTAAGATTTCTCACAGGCTTAAATTTCAAATTTCTCAAGTATGGTTCCACATTTTGTCATGAATGAATGAATGAATGAATGAATGAATGAATGAATGAATGAATGAATGAATGAATGAATCAAGTTACCAGTGTCCGTTTCACTGGCTTCTTTTAAAGCATTTGATGTGTCTCGAAGCTCAAAGCCTTTCTTGAAAATAATGATGTGGTGACCATCTTTTATCAAGTTGCTGCCAAAGGTTTGTCCATTTTATTTGAATGAATCATTTCTCAAAGTTTCATTTAAGAATAATTAGATTAGCACAATGGCTGCACAGTGGTGCAGTGGTGATTTGAACCCAGGACCTTGCAGCAAGAAGGTCCTGGGTTCGAATCCCAGCCTGGGGGTCTACCTGCATGGAGTTATCGTGTGTTGCCCTGTGATGGAACTGTAACCTGTCCAGGGTGTACCCTGCCTCAGACCCCTGTGACCCTGCATGGACAAGCGGGTATAGACGATGGGGGGATAGATTAGCGCAGCCCTTCCTGCACAACACTCGCTGTGCGTAGGGCCTTGCAATCCATGTGGGGGCATACTGCACAAGAGGATGCATTCTCCTCCATGAGGCACTCAGTGCACACAAAACACTAGCTATATCCAGATAGTTAACCTGTTGAGGGGTTATTTTTCAGATTTAATCCCACTTCAGACTCAAAGCGAGCTCACACCAGGAATCTTAAAGTAATGAAAAAAGGTGGTGGTAATTTGTAAAGAAGCATCCTTTCAAATGCAGAACAAACATGAGAGCTCGACTAATTGCTGTGTAAGAGTGTTTTCAAGAGCACAATGTGTTTATTACCCCCCATCAGTGGCCAAGTGATGTTTGTGTATTTGCAGCTCCGACAGAGAACAATAAAAAAATACTGTTGATGAAAAATATCTGTTATTCTGTGAATTAATTACCGTCACTTTTGAGGAGAATTTGTTCAACTGAGCTTCAGCTCTGCAGAAAAAAATTCTCCTTCCAAATGAGTGCTTGTTCTTTATTGACTGATGATAGAACAGTGAGGCGCTACAGCTTCCGCCCAATCTCATTCTCATCACCAGCTATTCTCCACGGCACAGCTGGTGGGCCACGCCGCTCTTCTGCTCTCCTCATTTGTGTTTTCTGCAAAAAGAAAAAACGGTTGTGAAGTCACATTATTAACTCCCTGATGTTTACAGGAAACGTGAGCTATCGTCGTGGCAGAGACGGGGCAGGAAGTGTTCATGTTCTTTAAAGAAACTCTTTTCCATCCAACTCATGTGATGTTTAAGGACCCATCCTCTCCACAGCATCCCCCTGTGTGCCAGACTTCACTGGACCAGCTCAAGAAGCACAACTTATTGGATTATGGAGTCCACCAACTATGCTCATGTTGCTGGAGTGTGTGTGTGTGTGTGTGTGTGTGTGTGTGTGTGTGTGTGTGTGTGTGTGTGTGTGTGTGTGTGTGTGTGTGTGTGTGTGTGTGTGTGTGTGTGTGTGTGTGTGTGTGTGTGTGTGTGTGTGTGTGTGTGTGGTTTGATGGTAAAATTCTATTTACCCACCCATTTTTTATTTAGAATTCCTTCACAGAGCCTGTTTTCAGGTCCAGAGGTTAGAAATTTAAAGCTTGGAGGCTTTCTGAGGCTTGTTTCACACGGATTTAGCAGCTGTTGTCTAACTTCACCCTTGAGGAAGCGATGCGTCTGCAAGGACAGGATAAGTTTTTGGCAGATACTCCTGGCTGACTGGACTCTGCTTGTGTATAAATGATGCAGAAGCAGAGATTTAGCACAGGGGGGACTTTCTGGCCCAATCCTAATTTGTGTCATTGGGTTCTGTTCAGGGTGGTAACCCTGCTGACCTTTTACTGATTTTACTCCAGATCCGCTAAAATACCTTCAGACTGAAGCAGATGTTTCAGCTGTGGAGTATAATTTATTTACAATTAACCCTTTAAATCTTGATTCATGAAAGAATAATCAGACAAAAGCTGAAGAGGAAGTTGGCTAATGTTATTATAACCTGTATGTAATTATGGACAACAAAGGGTTTATTGTGGAGCTAACCGCTCAGATGAGGGTAGTCTGTGTGTAATTTGCTGCCTGTACTCCTCTCATGTTGCTCTTTGAAGGGCTGAGTGATTGTCCTCCTTCCTGCTGGAGGCGACATCCTCACACTGAAGTCTTTCCACCTTTAGAAGATGAATAAATGTGTCTAACAGGCTCCCTGACATTGAAACATCGTGAGTCACTCTGCTCTGCTATTTAGGTGCGACTGCTAGCCAGCCCAGATTTCCTCCAGCCTCTCCCCTCCCTGTTTTTGCTCATTTGTTTCCCTCCCCTGCTATGCTGTTTACGTGTAATTTGGACATCTGTCAAGGTTGTTTGCCTGCTGCCCTGTCGTGGGATTAGGCCTCCTTTGCCAAAGCTGAGAAGACATATGAGGACGGAGGAAAGTCCTGGCTGTGAAGACAGGCAACGTCTGGCTGTTTCTCATCTACCAGGTTCACGAGGATAATTAAGAAAGCAACAAGGGTGCAGAGGAGCAACAAGTTCAGCACATTTGGGTCACTGATTCCACATCCATGCATCATGCTCGTCCTGTTCCCGCCTGTTATTCTTAGTGCTAGCCAGTGTCCCAGTACTGTCTGTTAGAGCCCACCTTGTCTTATCACACAGTCTGTTCAGCTCACTGCTTCAACACCGGGGGGGAGGAAGTGGGGGAATTGACCTTGCTGATTTAACAGCAATACCTTGTACCTCACAAGCCCTGATATGTGCAGGATGGCTCAGGTACGCCCTGCAGCACAGATTTCTGTGGGTGTGGTGAGTCTGGCCTGGAGCTCAGGTGCACTGTGTGAAAATGCACAGGTTGCAGCAAGAAGGGAGGGGAGCAGTGCTGATTTGAAATTAGCTTTCTGGTCATGTTTCATGCCGAGCGCTACTAATTTGTTCATCTCCTTAATGAACATCATTGGCAGGACTGCATTAACCCAGCACTTGAGTTTCCTAATGGCTATAGCGTCACGCTCCGTGCTCACATCATACTGTACCTCAGCTGCAATCAATACTGGATCATTTCACCAGTCCGTCCAACTTCGTTCAAAATGTCTCTTTCCATTTTTAGAATCAACACAGTGAGAGTTGGTGCTTTATAAATGGTGATAAAAAGGCCCATTAATTAACCCCATCGCTTCTGGTAAATCAGTCCCTCAGAGTTAATAGGAGGTTTGAGCTGTCTGGATCTCCTCTGGTAAGCTGGAGAGTGAATTAAGCTTTGTTTGGGGTGGGAGCAGCTGTCATTCTGCAGGTTGCATGTCTGTCTGTCTGTCTGTCTGTCTGACCGTATGTCTGTCTGTCTGTCTGACCGTATGTCTGTCTGTCTGTCTGACCGTATGTCTGTCTGTCTGTCTGTCTGACCGTATGTCTGTCTGTCTGACCGTATGTCTGTCTGTCTGTCTGTCTGTCTGTCTGACCGTATGTCTGTCTGTCTGACCGTATGTCTGTCTGTCTGACCGTATGTCTGTCTGTCTGTCTGTCTGTCTGTCTGTCTGTCTGTCTGTCTGTCTGTCTGACCGTATGTCTGTCTGTCTGACCGTATGTCTGTCTGTCTGTCTGTCTGTCTGTGTGTCTGTGTGTCTGTCTGTCTGTCTGTCTGTCTGTCTGTCTGTCTGTGTGTCTGTCTGTCTGTCTGTCTGTCTGTCTGACCGTATGTCTGTCTGTCTGTCTGTATGTATGTCTGTCTGTCTGTCTGTATGTCTGTCTGTCTGTCTGCCTGTCTGTCTGACCGTATGCCTGTCTGTCTGTCTGTCTGTCTGTATGTCTGTCTGTCTGTCTGTCTGTCTGTATGTCTGTGTGTCTGTCTGTCTGTATGTCTGTCTGTCTGTCTGTCTGTATGTCTGTCTGTCTGTCTGTATGTCTGTGTGTCTGTCTGTCTGTCTGTCTGTCTGTCTGTCTGTCTGTCTGTATGTCTGTGTGTCTGTCTGTCTGTCTGTCTGTATGTATGTCTGTATGTCTGTCTATGAGTAACCTCACCCATAAATGGTTTGGGTTTCAGTTGTTTGTTGACACGTCATGACGTTCTTGCTAAAAATAAAAGGAACGGGCTGAGAAACGCCACCTGGGAACTCACACATTTACCTATCTCTGCTTTAAAAACACTAAGTAGGAAGTACAGTCGTGCTCCTGTGCAAAGGGAACTAGCGTGCACGCTGCTGATGAGTGACAAATGGCTGTAGGTGATAAACATCATAAAAGCAGAACAGCACCACGCAGACCTGTAATCATTAATCTGCCTTCAGCTGATTTACCTCCAAACCAAAACTAAAAACAGGATCAGGTACACAACTCCTGTAAATTTCTACATTTCTATTAGAAATCTAATGAATGAAGTGAACCCCCAGTTTCTATGATTAGAGCTTCTACACAGAAAACCAGTTAGAGGAGGTCTGGCATGTTCTGAGCGGGGGAGTGGCTACCAGGTGCACTATGGCCAGAGAGGGTGTGACCATAGTTACTGCTGCTGAGTTTCACCTGAGAACTAATAAGCTGCTCCCACACGACGACGGGTCTCCAGGGACACACGCTTGTTCTGGACTCATCCAGGTGCATCAGAACTTTTCTGTTTCTCCGCCTTTGCTGATCAGCGGACATTGATTTTGTTGGTGGTTTGAACCGACAGACACGATTTGCTTGCCTCCCGGTAAATGATGATTCTTTTTCTGCAAATAGAAAGCTAAAAAATGACATAGAGAGCTTGTTGTTTTGGTCTGGAGTTTGCATCAGAGCATCAAAACACTCAGATGACAAGCTGCGACTGAAATGAAATTCTTACGGTGTTTTTTTGCTTTTACCTGGTGTCAGTATTACGATGGATCCTACGTTTAGGAGTGTGTGGCTGAAGATGACTGTGTTGTTACTGATAACAAGTCTGTGGAGCTCAGGTGAGTTTCATTTTGTGTTTCCAGTTTTTATAAAAAGATGCTTCTCTCATGGCGATAGTGACATTCTCACTGGTGAACCACAATGCAGGCATTCAGAGAAGCACACACAGATCTACCCTCTGATTACCACATAACATTCATACCTTATATTGTATTATTTGTGCTGTTGCTAAGGATCGGACTGAGCGTTTAAAGTGAAAACCCTTGAGAGACCTCATTTATTTTTTTTTGTCCCTAAGGAGGGAAATTGGCTCCGGGCCTCCTTCCAAGTCGTCTATTTTCATATACAAACAACACAATGACAGAGAAAAGGAAATCAGATTCATGCAGCAGGTGAACAGTGATCAGACACTCGTTTTCATCCACATGAAAACCCCTTAAAGCCACAAAAGTCTTCACATTTCCCATCAGAACATTTGGCTGCCTTATTGATTTCTTAATTTCTGATGCAAGCCCTCTGTATCACAGCGAGAAGGCGTTATCCGGTGAAAGAGTGCAGAGGATTTGAATATTCTCAGCTCTTTGTATCAAGCTTAGCGACCGAGCTCACTGGCAAGCAGACAGAAAACGCATCTTCCTCACAACAGTGTTGTGCCCAGAGGGGCTTTCACAATGTAAACATTTGATTGACTAGATTCAGACGTTCTCTTGCTTCCTTTCATCACATCTGGCATTTACATGCTTTTATAAATACCTGCGACACACTTTGTTTTTGTCGCAGCGACACCAAAGTGCTTTCAGAGTGTAATGCCAGATTTTTCAGAGGAGAGGTGGATGATTTCTGCTCCTCTTTGGTATTTAGTTAACGGTATTTATCTGGAGGAAAGGCTGTTAGAAGCTCTGAATGCTGAACTAAGATAAAAATCCTGCATCTGTTTAGATCTGTTGCTGTTCATAATTAAACTGCACAAGAGTCTTTTCACCAGCGCCAAACTATCGGCAATAATTAAAATCCCCGGTCACAAACAGTGAGTCACCAGGGTGTGTGTCAACTCGCAAGGCTCGAAAGTGAATCTTGTCGAGTGGGTTTTTCATTTTTGCCCGTCCACTCAGTTTTAATCATTTGCTCATTTATTTCTCACAGTTAACAAACCTCCACAATTAAATTAGGATGCAGCTCATTTTGGGATATAAATCAGTCTGAGATTTTTTTGTGTTCCAGCTCTAAAACCCTTAAATCTTCAGCTGACTTAAGAGGCCAATTAGTTTCACGTTGGAAATCCTTTTCCACCCTGAGCCTGCTTAGACCCAGAGCTTGAATATCATCAAGCATAAAACATGTAAATTCATTAGTTTTAGTTCTCTGGTGTACTTCTGTGTTTCAGTGCCTTCAAGAGTCTGAGAGAGAGAGAAGTGTACTGGATGTATTTGGATTTTTGTGTTATTTTAGTGGCCGAGGCGATGCAGATAACTTCATCGGGGCCACAGACCATTCAGCAGCCCGAGGGGGAGACGGTCACCCTTGGATGCACCTACACACCGGCTGCAGCAGACACGGGGGACCTGGACATCGAATGGTCCAACGTCAGCCCGGATATGACGCAGAAGGACAGGCTGGTACGTTGCCCTCATGCCTGTGAGTGAGAGGAATGTGGAAAACAAACCTGTCTGAGTGTGCGATTCATGACGTAACAGTGCACTGTTCGTGCACGCAGGAGGGCTATTTTGTATTTCATATTTCATTTTCAGCTCTGCTTGCTTTAAGATTGAATTCTCATCACTCTTTGCAAATTTTGCATCTCAGATCTTGTCGTTTACAGGCGGCCGGGTTCACTACTACAGCCCCGGCTTTTCTCAGAAGATGAAGTTCCTCTCAGACCCGTCGCAGGGAGACGCCTCTGTCAGTATCTCTAACGTGAAGGCCCCAGACACCGGCACCTACCAGTGTAAGGTCAAAAAGGCACCAGGCGTCGACATGAGGAAAGTCACTCTGGTCGTGCTGGGTGAGGAGTGAATTTTTGACACCTGTTTTACCAGTTCATTATCTCAGCCTTCCCATTCTTCGAATGTTCCCGTCACTCACACGGAATGTGAGAGCCCGTCTCAGTCTTTATTGCCATATCTAGGTGTTTAAACTCCCAGAATGAATTTATTAAATGAACCAGATTTATTTTCTCTCATTAGCTCCCCCCTCTCCGCCAAGGTGCTGGGTTGAAGGTGGTGAGGAGAAAGGTGGTCCGGTCTCCCTGCGCTGTAAATCCCAGTACGGCTCCATTCCCATCACCTATGTGTGGACTAGAGAAGGCGGAGCTGCAATGCCAGCCACTGCAACACAAAGTAAAGCAGCTCAATGCAAACATGTCCATTACATTCACTGTACTTGTCCTAATGCTGCCCTGCTGTCTTTAAGACCCAGAGAGTGGAGAGCTTTTGATAAAGAACCACACCGACAGCAACGTTGGAGTTTATGTGTGTAACGCTAAAAATTCTGTTGGTCAAGCTCAGTGCAGATACACACTGCATGCATACAACCGTAAGTCTAAAGCCCTCAGCAGCTTTGTGTAAAATGCAGATGGGATATAAGAGATATGTTGTAATGTCTTTGTGTCGTCTTCTTCTTCTTCCAGCAACCAATAGAGTGGGTGTCATTGTTGGTGCAGTGATAGGAGCTCTGCTGCTGTTTCTCCTCCTCCTCCTCCTCATCTTGCTCCTGTACTTCTGCTGCTGTAAGAAGCGCCACCAGAAGGAGTCCTCAAATGAAATCAGGTATTGCATCAGAGTCGGGAGGGGGAGGGCGTTTCGAGGCTCAGAGGGGAGGAAAAGAAAACAAAAATTCAAACATCACATCAGAACATCAGCTAACAGCTACTTGTTTTACCTTTTCTCCTCCGCCTCAGGGAGGACGTTACAGCTCCAGAGAGCCGACCAGCCAGCCGGAACTCCAGTATGCGCTCGATATTGGGGTACCGCACTCACCAAGGGGTGCAATACAGTTCTGTGAAAAGTCCTTTACCCAGCATCAATGAATCTGGGCCCACTTTGACAGGAAGTGATAATGGAGCAGCCAGCGCAGCGAGAGCTGCTTCTGGTAGATACGACCCTAAATACGGGTACCCGGTGTAGGAGAGAGCCGGGATCTACAGCTTCTAATGACATTTTTACTGTGCGACATTTTTGTAACAAATGGACTGTCGAATAGGTAAACTACCGCAGGTGGAATCATTTATTTGTCCAGAGAACAATGGGAGTGCCCATGACGCACGCCGCCAGTGCTGTTGTAACAAGAACAGGTTCTAGTAACAGGGTGATCTTAAACTTTATGTAAATAGATCTAACAAATGTATATTTTGTGAAGCTGCATTCTATTTTCTAACATGTAAATGAGTTGAACGTTTTAAAATTATCTACTGAATAAATTTTTTTCAAGTGAAGTCAGTGAGAGTCTATTCTAGGCTCATTCAGGCACATTTATCTGTTTTATTTTTTTATTTCTCATCAACGTCTGAGCAACAGAATGACATTTAATCACATCTCTATTAAAACTGAAATGAGTTGGCACTAATACGAAAGTGGGTATGTTTGCACTGCAGTAAAACGAGGTATGATTAATCACTCCGTGCACGTGTTCATGGGTTCAAAGTCAATTTAATTAGAAAAGTTGATAAAGGAGGAGTAAGTGAGGAAAACTAGAGCCAGGTTGGAATCTCTGACCTTAGAGCACAAGGTCAACGAAGAAAATCTGTTTTCACATTCGGGGAGTGAGTGGAGAGACTCTACGTGCACCAGTTTAATATTTAAACTGTCAGATGGTCATGTGTCAGAAAATAACAAAATAAAAGGTCTGTTGACTCTTTTCTGCGGTTCTCCAGTGGAACCTTTTTCTTTTGCAGATTAAAGAGCTGAAAAATTGCCTTTTTGTGTGTTTTTTTCTCCAGTGTTTGCAGCCTTAAACTAGTTCTAAGTTGACTACAAACAGCCAAGGTTCTAACCTGTGGCTGACACCCTCAGCAGGTAGAGTCAGCACTACGCCCGCAGTCAAGCCTCTTCTAAAACACCACATGACGCCCTCTGCCCATCTTCAGAACGTGTGCTGAATTAATAACAGCAGCTAGGAGCAAGGCTGGATTATAATATGTGCAAACTGGGCACAGGCCCAGGGGCCCACAGCCACAAGGGGGCCCACGCGAGCAGCAGTCTTGTTTTGTTTTTGTTTTTGTGCGCAGCAGTCTTAACGTTGGAGAAAAAACTTAACAAGTAATTAAACTTGCGCCCGCATTTTCTAAGTTAACACACATTTCTTTTAACAACGGTAGTTTTTGCATCTTTACTGTCTGCTTCAGCCCTCTCCCCCCTCCCTCTGCTCAGCTGCCGCAAACTCACTGACGATCCTGCAGCCTCTCAGAGTTCCTGCTGATCTAAACATTGAAAGAATCATTTCATTTTCTGTTCCTCACTTCTGATTACCTTCAGTGGTGTCTGTTTGTTGCAACCACCAGGTACAAAAACGAACTTGTTTTTATTTGACTATGTTTCTGTCCTGTCTGTTTATTATCTTCCTGCATCTTCTCTCAATCCTGCAGAAAAACTGCTACCTGGCTTCATATATTCACCTCATGAGTTACCTTTGAACTGAAGTTCTAAAAGATCTACCGACTGCAAAAATAGCGGAGTGTGTGCTACGCGCCGGCCACACCGGTGCGGTGAAGTCACCGGAGGATGAAGCAGGTGATGTGCTCACTCCGCAGCAGCGAAACGCATCAGGCACAAGTAAAAGACAGAAAGCATGAAAGGATATGAGCCGACATGAATGATCGCCTGTCAAATTTGTTTTTGAGGTGGCGATACTTTGAGAATGTTACTGCGGCCGTGCTCAGGACGCATCTGTCTGGAGCGCGTCAACGATCAGAGCTCTGCACCTCTCCGCTCAAAATAATCCCCCAGAGAGTCCACATAATTTAATATAAGCAGTACCAGGATCGTTTTCAGGCTAAAAAAAACAGTCTACAGTCCATCTTCCCTTATGTGTTTATGACCCTGCGGATTTTTCTAACGCTACCAGTTACAAATTGTGAAGGGGAACGATCATTTTCTCAAATGGCAAGAATAAAAAATGAACTGAGAACAACACAAAGTCAACAGCACCCCAGTGCACTGTCACTGATGGCTATTGAATCTCAGCTTGTCAGGAATCTGGATTTAGATGACATCGTAAATGAATTTACTAATAGAAAGGCCAGAAAGCAGTTTTTCTGAAGACAAGAGAGGAGACCAACAAGAGGAGACAAAAAGAGGAGGAAGAAGCCAGGAGTCAAGAGAAGGAAGGAGACAGGAGACAAGAGGAGGAAGGAGACAGGAGTCTAGAGGAGGAAGGAGACAGGAGTCTAGAGGAGGAATCAGACAGGAGACAAGAAGAGGAAGGAGACAGGAGACAAACAAAAAACATGCAGATATTTCTTCTTTGCAAACTTTTAACTGTAGAATTTTTTAAAATAATCCTGCATTACTTTATGTTGTAGTGTGACAGTGGGGTCTTTTACAGCAGACTCACTCGCCCCCACTGTCCCACAGATTGACAACATTTTCAACATAAGCACAACATAAGCACATTGTGCCCTGGGGCCCCTGCTATGATAATCCGGCCCTGGCTAGGAGTGGTGAAAAGCTGCTACGATGTCAGCAGCTAATAAAAATTCTAATCTGCAACATCGTTCTCCCTTTTCTAGACTCTCGTAACCGTCAGTGCACCTCTGCTCTGTTTGTCCTTTTTGCTTCACTTCAATACAAATTGATCCATGTTGGTTAATTTTACCATCATCATGTTTGCTCAAACTGAATGTTTCAACAAGTGCACTTGGAGCATTAAACGAACCTGCCTTTTGACAGACACGTTAAACAGGTTAGAGTGGTCATTCAGGTCTTTTTAAGTGGGTTTTTCTGTGAAGAAATGGTGGTTCTGGAGTGACACGCAGCATCAAAAATTACATTTAGGTCCAGACTTTCACTAGGCTGCAACAAAATCTTCATTTGATGGTTTTTTTTTCTTTATTGAGCTATTTGGAGGGTTGCTGGTGTGCTTCAGACCTTGCTGCAGAAGTCAAGTGTGCTGAAGCTTAAGGTCTGATGGTCAGACTTTCTCCTTCAGGATTTTATGGTTACAGCAAAGCAGCCCCAGACCATCACACCCCACCACCATGATTGATCTGATCAGGTCTAATCTTCTTTTCCAGAGATGCACTGTCCTTTAGATCTTTTGGCCTTTTTCAGGTGGTCAGACGGCTTCCACTGAAGTGATCTGTTAATGCTACAGGTCTGGTACTAACCAGCTCTGGGTGTGGTTGGTGAAACTCAGCTTTGCAGATGATCACAGATCAATCACATTATGCATGATTTAACAAGAAGTGTGATTATCTTTTCACAGATGAGCTGGTTATTACATGTTTTAGCATTAATACACACTTTATTCAGGTTATATCTGTCCTATAATGAAATGTGTTTGTTGATCTGTAAGATCTTAATGTGCAAAGCAAGTAAAAATAGAAGACTTTAGTGAGGGATCTAGTTTTTCCTGCACAGCGCTGTGCCAACCAAACCAGCAGTGAGCATTTCAAGCAGAGACTAATTACTTAGACTCCGTGTTAGTTTCACCTCAGCACATTGGGAGGGGAGACGCCGCCCAGTAAAAGCACTCAAATGTTGCAGATTATAACCTCTTAATGGAACGTAACTAAAGCAGTTTTTCATGTATTTGGTTCCATCTCCCATGACTATAAATCTTGATAGGTGAACTATAAACATAAATGCTCAAAAAAGGTGATCATCCCTATCTAATATATATTCATTGGCACCAAGAAACTGCAAAATCAGGACAGATTTAAGTATTAGTAACAGATTTATGTAAACTAATTTGTAATTATTTTTTGCATCATGTTTAGTTTGATTTTAAAGCAAACTGGTGTAAAAACGGTAAGGTAAGTAAACAAGCATCAAAACATGCTTTACAATGTTCACTATGTCCTCTTTTTAAATATTGAACAAGGTTCTTTAAGCTTCGGACATGAAGGTGTTTCGAGTTACCTTTAAATGTTTCAATTGTCGTCTTGATGAAGACTGCAGAAGACGGTTGAAACATGTAAAGATAACTCGAAACACCTTTATGCCCGAAGCTTAAAGAACCTTGTTTAATAAGCATCAAAACAAGTAAATCATTAAATATCACAGATAGGAAAAGGATTAGGGCCACTGAAAGAAAGCAAATATGAAAAGAAAGAAATTTCTGACTTCAATCTCAGAATTCTGCCATTTTTTTAAAGAATTATTAAAGACAGAATTCTGACAAAAGAAGTGTAAATTATCTTTCTTTTTTAATTTTTTTTCTTTTCTGTGGCCTCAATCCTCTTTCATAATAAACACTCAGTTAGATGTTGTTTCATGTGTGTTGTTTGTTTTCAGATAGAATAAACTAAATGCATGAAATAAAATCCTAAAGTAAACATTTCCTGTGGCGATCCTCTGCACCTCTCGAGGGGAGCGGGGGCTTTTCTGGTTGCAGTCTCCTTGGGGTTCCTGTGCTCTGGGGCAGCTCCTGGATCTCTGGGACTTGGAGCTTCCTCCGTCTCATCTGTGGCCCCTCACACTCTCTATTGGACGCTCCTATAGAGAAACCTTACATAAACAAGTGTGTGTACACACACAGGTGCTCACATGGTGCTCTCATGGGCTTGGGCACGTTCAACGCGTCTTCAGACTGTGGTCGGCACTTAATGCACTGTGATTTATTATCGTGTGATTGTTCAGTTAAACAATGTTGATTGTATATTTCTTCAAGTTGACACAGTGATGGCTTGCTGCTGTTGTATTGTTGTTGTGTCCCTTTTTTTTTGTTTTTTGTTTTTGTTCTCTTCCCTCTTTCTGCAGGTCTAGAAGCAATCTCTTGTTCATTATTGTTTATTTTTGTGGAACCCCCACCCCCACACACCCACCTTTTGTCTCTTCCTTTCTCTTTCACCTCTGTCTCCGTGTCTGGTCGGAATTAAAAAGCATTCGAAAACAATAACAATAAAGTTTTAAGTATCAGGCGTGACATTAAAAGCAGACGCTTTGATGCTCCGCCTGAGAGTAAATCTGTAAGGCTTGTTACCAGCATTCAGACATCAATTCTGTTTGCTTCACAGCCAGACAGGACACAGAAAAAAAGAGAGATTTACACACACACACACACACGCACGCACACACACACACACACACACACACACACACACACACACACACACACACACACACACAGTCAGTATTCTGAAACTCCTAACTGAGCAAAACTGATAACAGTGTTAAGATTTATCATTTGTTTTTACCTAAAAGACAATTCCATTTATAGTATTGGAGTTGTAAGATAGGGATGCACCGATCAGGTTTTTTGCTGCCGATCACCGATACCGATATCAAAGAATGCTGATCACCGATACCGATCACGTGGATTGGCCAGAAATTTTCTACAACATCATAATGAGTGCTACAAACTACATAATCTGGGAATAAAGGAAATATAACCTAATCTAAAATGGTCTGTATTAGGGTTGTCACGGTGTGAAAATTTAACCTCACGGTTATTGTGACCAAAATTACCACGGTTTTCGGTATTATCGCAGTATTTTTTTAAACGTGCTACATTTTCACACAATTAAATAAACCCTGTATGTCAGGAAATATTGTCCTCAGTTTGTGTCTAAATTTAGCCTAAAATGTGTTGTTTTGTAATTATGTTGTTTATTTGTTTACATTTTTCCCCTTTAGTCTTTAAAATACCAATATTTGCCCATAACTTCTTATTTTATGTCTGTTTGATGTCATCATTTTAAAAATATTAGCTCAGATGATACTCAATACTCAAGTAGCCTTCTAATCAGATACTTTTTTACCCTTACTTGAGTAATAAACCCTATATCAGGAAAATATTGTCCTCGGTTTGTGTCTTTCCAGTGAGCTTTGCAGATGTGGGAAAATGTCATCAGGCAGTAATCATTGTTAAATTCATAATTATTCTCAGAGAGAGACCAACTCTTATCTGCCCCTGGGAGCCCCGTAATGCATAGCGTCATTTCAATATGGGGGTGTCCGCGACACGGTTTATATGCAGGTAGCGGCGCTGCGGCTGCTTTATATAGCAACTCGTTGCGTTCTCCCTCAACCCAAATCCTCGGATCACGCATTTTAGCTAAAACGCTAACGTTAGCTTGCCTTGCGTTGACTGTAGAGTTGTGGGTGATGGTCACTTAGATGTGTCATGAGATTTGAAGCGCTGCTGCCTTTCACAGACACTTTTTCTGCTCGTGCTGCAAACAGGATAGCCGTCCGTCCGTCTTCTATAAACTCCCTCGGCATTCTTCAAATATCTAAAATATGCCCGTAATTCCGACTTTGAGGGATAATAAATGTCCTCCTGAGCGCTGCCGTCTCCTCCTTTGACCATTATTTCAGCTTTAGCTTCAAGAAAGTTTTGTTGTAAACAAAGCGTGCATGTGCCGCCGGCAACTTCAGCCGATGATACGGTGGCTGGTAAGGGTCACCACGCCTACACCGCAGCCACGGTAAACCCACCAAGATAATATAGTTTTTTAAAAAACAAGACGGTTATTATTATTGTCAACTTTTTATTTTTTTACCGGGGTTTCCCGCTACACTGGTTACCGTGACAACCCTACCTGATCAGTTTGCTTTGATCTATTTTGAAAATTCCGATCAAAACCGATAGGGGCGCTATCGGCCGATTACGATCAAATGCCGATCCATCGGTGCATCCCTATTGTAAGATGGCAGAAATCAAACTCCACCGTGACTAGCTGTTAGCTCGTCGATCCATCAGAACTAATCTCTGTCTTTCTAAACTGAGGCTCTTCCCAGGGTCTTCTGAAAACAGGTAAGGTGTATTTAATGACATTTTTATGGAAACCCACTTGAAAACACCTCAACCATCTATGAAGCAATCAATGACCAAACAAAAAGGCTAATTTAAAATTCCTCGATAATACTAAACATTTCCCCGATTCTGACGAAAACAGCTCATTTAGCAGATTTTATTTTTATTTTTTTGGTTCAGAAAGTGTTCGACTCAACATGAGCTTCTGGGCCAAAAATGTATGGTTTTAGACAAATTAGGGTTTTTAACATGAAGGAAATGGCCACTAAGAATCCTGGAAGCGATGCTAACTATAAACTACTGAATATAAAAACATTAAGGCACTTTGGATTGCAGTGACAATGTTAAAATCCAAACGTGTTGGTAATTTAGAGCAATGCTCCACATGCTTGTTAAATTCAATGTGGGAACAAATAAGCTGGAACAGCGACATGTTTACCGCCGACTTGCATCCTCTCTTGTCTTGAGTTCTGAAAGCAAACCACTTCCCCAAATTTCTTTGACAGTTTTTTTTAGTTGAACACAGTTCACATCAATGCAAGAAAACAAGATTTCTAAATTTAGCTAAATTTTCAGCCAACATCTTAAGTCTTTCCACCAAGTTAGCAGCATGAAGTGCTGCCAGGATCCCAAAGGTGATTTCAAGGAGGTTTGCTTTTCTCAGGCAAATGGATGTGCTGTGGGTCTGGTGTTTGTAAATATGCGGCACTGCTGCAGGAATCACTATTTGCATGTGGCATAGGGTACAATTGTTTTCTGTGTGACTGGGTGAGCTGTTACGCAGCACTAACACGCACACAGTAAAGCAACTGAGAACCCACGAGCTGCATCCACCCTGCCCAACCTGTGTTCATGCAAACACTGCTTTACCACCACCTGTGGTCGGACACGGTGCAAACCAAACACTTACATATAAATCCCCGTTGGGACACGCTCACACCCAAGGGCTTCCCCTCTCCAGATGCATTCCAGCAGGTGATTGATACTTCACAAAGCAAAAGACCCACTGGCAGGCTCATCAGACCTCTTCGAGTGGAAGCAAAGGACTCGTCTGTCCGACAGGAGCTTGTAATCAGGTGAAAATGAAAAAGGATTCTAGACCTAACAGCTCCAAGCTTCTTTTTTAAGCTTAAATTAACCTAAAATTCATATTTCACATTTTTTTATCCATAACAGAAGACATTAATTACGCTAATTGGTGTCTGTTTTCTGCATTTCAAAAGCTAAATGTGAGAACCGTTTCCTCGGGTCCTTCTGACAAACTGTGACAGATTTCATCATGTCACACCAGTGATTAACCGTCTTGTTTGAAGCGTGTTTTCTTCATTTTTCTGCTGTTCTGTCATCTCTTTGAACTCAGCAGAAACGATCCTCCTCCAAGCCGCACACAGACGGATTCCTCTTGGCTGAGATGTGTTTGGGGTGAAGATCGCTGTGATGTTTGGAGTGAGTAAACTGACCCTCTGGGTCCTGACAGGTCCGATAGCCGTCACAACTGTCTTCTTTAACGTCTACATGTTCTTGATGAGTCTGTTGAACAAGAAGATGAGAAGCCCCAGTGAAACTATCATCATGGCTCTGGCGGTGGCCGATGTGACCCACCAGCTGGTGTGTTACTTCTGGATGACCATGAATGAAGTGGACAATAAGTGCTACATTGCCCAGATTGTCTACCTCATCCTGCTGCTGTTCATCTTCAGCTTTAAGTTCACCATCAGCTGGGACATGAGCTTTCTGACGTTCTACTACAGCACCAAGCTGGTCAGCACACCCAACCACTGCTACACCCAGATCCAAGCTGCCATCTTCAAGCACGTAACCCTCACGGTCTTCCTCATCCCCCTGTGTGGTCTGGTCACATGCATGCCCATGCTCGTGGTGTTTCACCCCGACAACCACACCAGAGCAGAACTAGTGAATGAGAACTGTGGCGTGTTGCTGCCAATAACCAGCTCTGGCAAGGCTTACGACATGATTTATCTGCTCCTCTCTGACATTCTGCCAGGGATGATCATGCTGAAGTGCTGCATCTCCATCTCCATCCACTTGGTCATCCACCTCCGTCACATGAAGGCCAGTAACAACGGCGCCCACCCCCCGAAGCTGGGCACTCAGATGAGGGTGATCCAGATGTCGTTGTTCCTTGTGACCAATTTTATTATTTTCCTAGTGGTGGATCTGTACGTGAACTACCAGATAGTGGTCAACCACGACAATTCTATCGCCTTCACATTCTTTGTCACGTCCATCTACACGACCGTCACAGCCATGGTGCTCATATATGGTAAAAAGACTCTTTGGAAAGCTCTGATACATGATTTCAGCGTTTGTCTGGAAGGATGTCCATGCCTGTCTTGTCTGAAGTTGTCCGAACACAAAACAAAAAACAGCACTTCTGCAAAACTTCAAAAGTAAAAAGTCACATTCTTCTGTGCCGTTTTCATTTATTAGATTTTGTGATAGAAAATTTCCTATTTACTTATTTAATGTTTGATGTTTCCGATAACCTGCTGCACCTGTGAAACACGCTTCTGTTAGCTTGTTAGTCTGCGTGATGCACACAGCCACCAGGTGACCAGCGGATCACAACCTTACCAGAAGAAAATTAATGTTTTAGTGGAACAAATAATAGTAAGGGCTGCAGAATGCATCTCCAAGCATGCTTGCCTGGACAGGATGCAAGTCTGTGCCCATCTAAAATGTTAAAAAATGCATGCGACTGTGGTAGGAGTCCATAGCGTATTAATAAAACAAGACAACACAAAACCTGACTTTTTTTTTTTTTGATGAGAAGACTTTTTCTGTGTGCTTTCCTCAGCCAGGTTCGGGGTTGTAGAGGCTGCTGGTGGGGATCACAGCCGCCTGCTTGTAACTGGAAGGATGCCAGGCCAAAATGCTTCAGAGTGAGAAAACCCAAACTTGATGAAGAGAAGCACCTCCTCCGGTGTGTGTTTGTTGCTTCCCAGCGGGAACGTGTGTCCCTGCGCCTGACAGCTCGTAGGCGTGACTGTGTAGCTGCAGCCGTGCGTGTGCCTGCAAAGCTGGGTGTTACTTAAAAGCGCTCTAACTCATGCCCAACAAACCTTCCCAGAGCAAACTGTGTAAAAATAAATAAATAATACAGCAGCAGCCGTCTTTGCAACGCTGCATTAGTTCACACCCTCTGGCACCACCTAGTGAGGTTCAAAGCAGAGATACAAAGCTAGAGTTAATCCGTCTACATGCTGGCGGTGGGACGTCTCCAGCCGTAAGTGGACAAAGTGAGAAAGGGCACATCTTCCTTTGATGCAGGGGAATTAAGTTGAGCCAGACCTGTTTTCATAACGCCTGCGGCTCTCGAATAGTGATGGAAATTCCGGCTCTTTTTAGAGAGCCGGTTCTTTTGGCTCAGCTCACCAAAAAGAGTCGGCTCTTTCGGCTCCCAAGTGGCTCCTCAGATTTTCTGTTGCGTAGAGTACATTTATAACCAAAATAATGCAAAACTAAATGTAAAATGATTTACTAATGTAAAAAAAATGCTATATATCAAATATTTATCATTTCTATGGATTTAATAACTGAACACTTTCAGAAATCTCCACTTTCCGCCTGCTGGCGCTCATTTTCTCACTGTCTTCATCGCACTTTCCTCTCTCTCTCTCTCTCTCTCTCTCTCTCTCGCCTTTTTCCTCCTCCTCATTCCCTCTCATCTCCCTCCGCCCGCATGTGCTCTGCTGTGTGTCTGTCTGAGTCTTATCCTCCCTCTTCCCCGCCCCTACTGCTGTGTGTGTGGACAGTCTGGACACGCAGTTACACATGTTGACCAATCGCCTGTGGCTTTCACCAAAGCAAAAGGGGAGGGGGGGGGGGGGGGGGACTCCCAATGACGAGCCGGCTCCCGTCGTTCACTTCAAAGAGCCGGCTCTTGGAGCCGGTTCGTTCGCGACCGACACATCACTACTCTCGAACTGCTTAACTGCTTACAGGAGTCAAACCTAACAGGACAGAGACATTAGGGGTCAAGAGGACAACGGTCTACGCACGAGGATGTAAGATTTCAACTCATTTGTTTGAAAATAAAGTTTATGGAAAGAATTATGATTATTTACTGCATTTAAATAATTTGCAACAAAATATGACTTGAATCTTTTAAATATCCTCTGATGTGGCCGGTTAGGTGATGTTTAAATAACCACACAAAAAAAATCATCTTCATTCTGACTCCGTTTTGACTTTTTTCATACTTCAATCAGTTTAGTTTTCTTTGAATCTATATGGGAGATTTTAAATATTACAACTACTGGTAAATTATTCATAACATTACATTTATTTTCACAGGCCAAGAGTAAGATGTAAAATTTTTGCATGAATTATTTCTCAGGTTTTCAAAAGGTGAACCTATAAATGTTAAATGTATATCACTTCCTAATGGAGACAGAAACGTGGTGGATCTACACACTCCACTTTAAATAGACCCATAAATACACTGTCACAAGTCACAGGGACTTTGTTGGTTTCAAAACGTCAATCATTTAAAAGTGTTGAAGATATATTCGTCTGATTTTGTCGTCTTTGAGAAAATATCCTTTAAGTTAAGTCGTATAAAACTATAAAATTAAATATGATTTAATAAGAGCTGGAATAATGTGAATGTTTCAGATTAATTACATTTTAGGAAGTGATTTAACTCTTAGAGCCTTTTTGGTTATTAAAATAACATTTAAGGAAATTTTAGTCATGTGCATATATTTTTTTAAAATAAACATCTTTATTTGTTTCCAGATCTAAACTATTTCACACCTTCATGCCTTCAAATGTTTCAAAGTCTTCATTGTAATGTGGATTTCCTTCTCTCGCCGTGCAGGGTTTTTCTTAATGTGCTTCCTGTTTGTTTTTCCTGGGAACACTAGAAAAAGGGTGGATTTTTTTATGCAACACATGCAGCCGTGTTGCTTTGAAAAACACATTTTGCTCCAGAGAGACAGCAGCATGTTGCAAGGACAAACAACGCACCGAGCTGAGCCTCCTGTCTCTGAGCAAAGCTACGGAACAGAAACCCAGCAGGTAGACCTGCCCTGAGCTGAAAGGAGTTTGCATTGATGCACTCAGCTAATCATGTGCTGCTAAACCCTAAGTGAGGTTGAACTTTGTTTACCGTCACCGGCCATGGGACATTTTCTACAATAAAGAAATTATTTATATTATTGGTTGGTTCCCTTAAAGATTAAAAAAATGCAAAGTAGAGCGTTTTTATAGTATTTTTACAAACTGAGACTCACTCAGTTCTCAGAGAGGGAACATTAACAAAACCCTGGGGCTGCACAGTGGATCAGTGGATAGTGCTGTTTCCATTCAGCAAGAAGGCGTGAGTTTGAATTCCAGCCTGCTCTCTGCATGGAGTTTGCGTGTTCTCCCTGTGTTCCCCTGACAATCAGTGTGACTGGTTTCTCCAAATAGGAGTGTGTGCATGGTTGTTTATCACGTGTGTGTCTGTGTTGCCCTGCGATGGACTGGCAACATGTCCAGGGTGAACCCCACCTGCTTGCCCAGTGGTTGCTGAAGATGGACACCAGCCCCCCGCGACCATGCATGGAGAAGCGGGTATAGACGATGGATAATAAAACCTTTTAAAATTCAGGATTTATAAATGACGGTCGGGCAAATCTGCATTTCTGATTTATTTTTGAAAGGGAATGTGTGCTCCAGAGACAAAGAGCAACAGGCTGCAGGTCAGGTCCTGAGATAACGTGGAGGCCATTCAGTGTTCATGGCAGAAGTATTTAACAGTGATGATGCATAAAGCAGGTTTTAGAGCAGCATATGCTGCCTTCAAGACTTCCTCTTCTCAGTGAACAGGCGTTAATAATTAAACCAGACAGCACAAAAACACGCTCAGCAAACGATACAAGAGGATTTATGAACCCAAACTAAAAGATTAAAGATCGATTATGTTGCACAGTTTTGATCAAGTTTGCAGGAATCATGGAACAGAACAGCATTTGTATCCTATGGATGAACATATTCTTAGTCTCAAAAACTGCCTCAATCTTCTCTGATTTGAGGTTTTGTTTAAGCTTGCAAACAATATCCAGGAAAACTGTTCCAGGCTTTTCACGGTGTCCTCTCAAGGTAACGGCAGCCGTGCGTCCTCACATTTCACAAGAGCTCAAGGTTGGACAGCTGAAAGCTGACTGTAAAGACGTCTTACAGAAAATAAAGGAACAATACTTAAACAACTTAAATTCTCCATCGTCAGTTTATGAATAGGTAAACCTCTCACCATCGGGAGGCGGTTTCCGTGGAGCGAGCATCACTATAAATGTCGATTGCTCCTGGGATTTCTGGGCAGAGTTATCTCCCGTACATCAGAAACTGACAGGAGGGTACAGGTCATTAACATTTCCGATTAGCGAGACCAGAACCCATCACCCAGCCACCATAAACATCTTATAAAACCCTTCCACACGTAATGACTCTCTGTGAATCACCGTGAGCTGCAGCAGCATCACTTACCAGACCTAGCCCGTTGTATCTGAAACACATAAATCACGGGTTTTATGCCAGCTTGTTAGATGCGTTGAGCTTAAATGTGTCATTTGTCATTCTATCAGCATCCGAGTCACTGTCTGTGAAAGAGCAGGGTTCCCTGTGAGAGCGTGGAGAGTAATCAATCGGTGTTCTCTGTAATTACACAACTGCAGCTCAAGTCATGAGGATCACATCTTTCTAAATATTACCAAACAAAACGACACTTCGTTGGTCTTAAAAGTCTTTAATTTGGTTCATCCAACAGCTTGGTCTTTAAAAAAATAGTACTATACACATATATCTCTTGAAACATTGTAAACTATGTGATGCTTGTTGAGAAACGTACATACTGTACAATCTTATTAACCCCTTGTACAAAAAACCCTAGAAATAGAAAAACTTAATTATCAGTTTCATTTGATCGTTTAAAACGTAGATTTAAAACTCCAAAGGGACGATGTTTGTGAGACAAGTGCAACGCTACATAGTTTGTAGAAAATGCTCTAAAACTATTCTGCATTCAGACAAAACCACTTCAGTCATCAGGGGGTGTGAACAGCAGCATTAGCGTCCCAAAAGATGCTTTTGGTTTCCTAATTTCATGCTGAGAAGCAAAAACCTAAAAGCTACTTCCAGAATAAATGTCAAGATAAAAGATTTTAATGTCTGTAGGAATAAAATGTGAAATGATATTTTCTGTGAGAAACTTAAGTGATGTGAAAAAAGTCTGAGTAATGTTGTCAAAATCAGAAACACAATTTAAGATATTTTAAGGACTTTTTTCCTGAAGAATTAAACAAAATGTCTTCTCTTTTGGTTATTTTCCTTTGGAGAGGCCCTCATTTACAGTTGCACGCGTAAATCTTTGAAAAATGTTTCATTATAACGTGATTTAACAAAGAAATGCCTGGATTTTCTGTGTAAACTGAACAGATGAGTTTTGATTGTCCTGTGAAGCACGTATGACGAGATCTCCTTAAGCTGCTACGGCTAACATGCAGCAGGAAAGATTAAACCATCAAAAATAAAATGAGTTCTGACAAAGAAGAAACACCAACTAGCACAAAAACACGGGTTTACATTACAGTTTTCATGTTTCGCCCCCGCTGTGCACAGAAATGGAGGAACTGGAGTCAGGACAACCAACCACACCGTCGGTTTGGAGCTCCTAACTAACCAAACATGTTTCTACTCGTACTGCATGTTTCTACTCATACTGCATAAAAGACTACGGAATGGTGTAGCTCTTGGTCAGGAGCAGTGGCTTACCTGCAGTTGCCAGGCAACCACAAACGGCCACTAAAACATCAGGTTTCTCACCAATTTCCAGCTAAACTGGGCTCCACTAATGAAAGCTACTGGCCCCAGATCCACGTTTAACCAACAGGTTTGACACCGAAGCATCTTCTAGCCAGAGAATCGGCATTCAGCGCCACCCTCAGCATCGTAGCGGGTTTCGGAGGCATCAGGAGCCGTTTTGAGTTCAATAAAAAGGACGCAGAGTCTGCACCACATTCAATAATGTCATCCAGTGTCTGAAACACAAGAACAACTAACTACACGTCACACAAACAGTTACCGTCTAAAACACTCTATTCCCTGCCATGAAGTATGATATTAACCTAATGCAGCTTTTCCCGATCACACATGGAATGCTGTTAAACAGCTCCTGGGAGAAGATGACTCATCCAGTGTCACACCACACAAGCATACAGATAAAACACAACAATGTACCATTATTCATTCATTTTCCCTGCAAATGATTCAAATACATCATAGTGAAGAGCTACTCTTTCATTACGTAATAAGCTCAGAGACTGTACCCCAAAGCCATGACTGTATCGCTATTCTCTGACATGACAGCAATGAATCCTCCCTTTAAGCTTTAGACCCAAATAATTGTTCAAATCTGAGAACAGAGGAGAGCTTAGAAATGTAAGTGGAAATGTAGCTGAAGAAAATCTTGCATATGTCACGCGTCCCTGCTGCCTGATTCCTACTGTGGCGTTTCCACGGAGCCACAAAGGAAACAGAGCTTTCATCCAATCAGAGAATTAGTGAAACTTGGGAGGCCCGTGCGTAGGTGCAACCTTAGGGGGTGGGGGGGGGGTGGGGGGGGGGAAGTCTCTTATGAGGGGAACATCGATTTTCGAGTCTTTGGCGGAGGTGGAGGAGGCTTGCTCTCAATTTTCATGGGTAATGGAGGAGTGAAATGCTAGTGGAAAAACAGGAGAAGAGTTTGTGTTAGGACTTTAAATAAAAATAATAACAGAATATTTTAACATTTACTCTCCATCAAACATGCATTAGAGAGGCGCTGATCTTTTCTGTGAGCAGATGCACCTCTGAAGCGATCCCAGGGTTGTCAATCTCGTGCAGATGTTTCTTTGGAGGCATGGGCGGGGGGGTCCCAGGGGTGTCAATAGTATTAGCACCATTGTCACCGAGTAGTGATGAATAACCTAGTGCAGGAGAGAAGAATAAAAGCTTTTCAGACCACACGCAATATGTGTGACCTGATTAGGTCTACAGACCTGAATGTGCTTACACAAAGATAGGCTGCAAGAAAAGCCTCCTTTTTTCTGTGAGAAGTCTAACTTTATGAAAAAAAATACTAAAATGCTGGCATGCGGTGTGGCACTTGTCAGAAGAGTTCTTTGCTACGTACTGGAACTGCGCGGTGTGTGAGGAGTGTTTGGAGAGGCAGGGAGCGGGCTGAGTGGGTTAGACAGGCTGAGCTGCGATGAAACACCATGAAAAAGGGAGAGGGTGAGCCGTCGGTCTCCCAGCTGTAAACTTTTGGGTCTCTGCTGCTTATCTGGAGAATTCTGGGTGGAAGAAAGCAGATAAAGAGTGAAGATTTCCAAAGAGAGCACAATGGTGCAAAAATAAATACTCTTAACAAAAATAATACATATATAATAATAATAATAAATATTAAACAAGGAAAAGTTGGCTAAATTTTTGTTTAACCTTGTAAAACGCTTATTTGGGCAAAAAGTAGGAACTAATGTTTTGTCTGTGACTTTCTCTTCTCACCATCTTTGGATGTGAATGGCATCAACACTTTTAGATGACAGTGGAGTTTGGCTCCATCTGCTTTAGTTTCTAGAAGATCGCATCAGATAAACGGAGCCTAAGTAGAGGCAGAGCTCTAACGTATGGGACTCCTAAAAGGTGGTCTGAAGGAGGCCACCTGCTGCTTCGTGTTCTCTACCAGAGTAAACAGCTTGTTGCTTCCTTTTTATACTAAATAAATATGAGGAAACCTTTAGACCAGAATCTTTGACCACATTTAATTAATGCTCGCCTACAGGCACTAGCATGCAGCTTTTGGTAAGCCTGTTAAAGAACATTTAAATTGGATGAATATAATACAGTCAAATGAATTAATATATGGAAATTATAAATAAAAACCTGTTTCATTACTAGTTTCATCTCATTTCTAGCAGAAGGCCATAGTGTTCTGAATATCCAGGCTTTGTTAATTTAAAATACACGATAAATAAAGGTTTTATTTTACTGTACTTATTTCTTTGTTGTGCAGGATTTGGCATTTTAAGCCAATATTTCAGATGTTAGTTATGACATAACTCTAAAGCTGGCTGCCAGGCCGTTAATGAGCTGCGTGAAAGCATCAGATCACACACGCTGCACCTGCGGCTTCACCTCCTCTGTGTCCGACAGCCTCTCCAGTAGGACTTGTGATTTGCTCACACTCCACTCCTTCCTGTTCTTTCTGTCGATTCTGTTGTCGTCCTCAGAACGGGACAGAACAGAAGCCCTGCGATCACTAGATCAGGACAAGGAGGAACAATTTGTGAATGACCCGAGGCGCAGAAACTGATGCAAAAATGTACAATAAAAGAGACAAATTGTTCTGTTTTGAGCACGAAAGGGGAACAAAATCAATGCTAGAAAATGAGTCAGAGCAGCAGATGGACTGAGACTAACTCTAGGGAGTGTCCATCGGAGGATGCAGAGCCACTGGAGAGCCCCGAGGAGGCACTTGATAGGGTTGAAGCAGTGGACATGCGTCTCAGAGTGGAAGACAGGATGTAGGGCATCACTACCGAGCCCACGCGACTCTTCTTCTTCTCAGTCAGCGAGCAGGGCTGGGACACAAATGGGATTAAGTACCATCAGGGGATCTTGGCAGGGAAAATGCAGAGTGACAGGCAAAGCACAGGTTGCAATGGTCTGGCTAAAGGAAGATTTATGGTCTTGTGCTAATATAATGTACACTCCGTTTTGAATGAGAAGCATTTGATAGGAAGGCAAAAGGGCCGATAGCTAAAGTTGGCACCGTCTTGCATAAAATTGAATTAGCAGTTGGCAACGCACCAAGGTTATGACGCCATAAAGTGCCTCCACTTTCTCCCGAAGGTCCTGGAAGCAAGTAACCAGATGATTGTGCAAAGGTTTCAGCTGCTCCGTAGCTTTCTCCCCGTGGATCCGGATTCCTTCTTCCAACAGAGGAATCTGTCAGGGAGAACACAAGTCAAGCCCGCGTGTTTTGCTAAGATCCGTTTCAGAATCAGCAACGGTGGAACAATTCTACCTGGAGGGCAATGAGATGTTTGAGGGCCTCGATGCGTTCATGGTCACCGGGGTGATCCTGGATGTAGGTGTCAGTGAAGAATGCCTGTGGAGGATGGAAACTAGGTGACAACTGGGCAGTGTTTCAGTCCTGCTCATTAGAAACATAGCTGCAGGCGTCGGTAAACAGGCTTGTTACAAAGAGGCCAGCGTGGCTCCCCTGAGAAAACAACAGAAGCCAGAAAACACATCCAAGAAAAAGGAGGATGACAAAGAGGCTTACTAAAGATGTTTTCAGAGTTAGATCCAACTTTTATTAGAGTAGCTGCTCATGTTTGATCACATTATGAGACTCTAAATACCAGTAAAAACCTACAATTTCTGAAAAACTGTGCTGTCAGCGAGGGGAAACCATTTCTGAGCTCCTCTTTTCTCATGTGGAAGAAAGTGTTAGGTCAGAAAAACTAAAGCTTTACCTTTAAAATAAATATTTATTTCAAAAAGAGATGGGGAAAATCCAAACTTGTTTTTTTTATGGGAAACATTTGCATTTTAAGAAGTAGGAAATTTTTCACAGGCGGATTGGTTCGGCGTCTGCAGTGATGCGGACGCTGAGCCGATCTGTCGTGGGGAAGAGGGAGCTGAGCCAGAAAGCCAGGCTCTCGATTTACCGGTCGATCTACGTCCCAATCCTCACCTATGGTCATGAGCTTTGGGTAATGACCGAAAGAACGAGATCGCGGATACAAGCGGCCGAAATGAGTTTCCTCCGTAGGGTGGCCGGGCTCAGCCTTAGAGATAGGGTGAGGAGCTCGGACATTCGGGAGGGACTCGGAGTAGAACCGCTGCTCCTCCGGATCGAAAGGAGCCAGTTGAGGTGGTTTGGGCATCTGGTCAGGATGCCTCCTGGACGCCTCCCCGGGGAGGTGTTTCGGGCATGTCCTGCCGACAGAAGGCCCCCGGGTCGACCCAGGACACGTTGGAGAGGTTACATCTCCAATCTGGTCCGGGAACGCCTTGGGGTCCTGCCGGAGGAGCTGGTGGACAAGGCCGGGGAGAGGACGGCCTGGAGCTCCCTAGTTGGGATGCTGCCCCCGCGACCCGGACCCGGATAAGCGGAGGAAGACGACGAGGAGGAAATTTTTCACTTTACAAAACAAAAAATCTGAAATACACACCCAAATTTATAAACGTAAGTCGTGAGTTTAAACAAAAAGGTTTCTTTGATTAAAGTGACAATGTGTAGTTTTCTCTGTAAATATCCCCAGGGCTTTTTGACCCTAATGGGCATCCGTTGGTAAGGTCTTACTCCAACACAAAAATACAGTTTGCTCGCAACGATTTAGGTATCTACTGCCCCCATCACCGGGAAAAACACACACAGTCACTTTTACCAGAGAAAAGCATAATAAACAACTGGGATTGTAAACTTAAAATTTTAAACTCAAATGCCAAAAAGAGTTAGTGAGCCTTCTTTTGAAACACATTTGCATTAATTAGTGTGTTTTTATTTTTTCCATAACTGTGCCTCTGACATGTTTGAGAACATCCAGATGAACTTTCTGTAAATTTGGGAGTTGTTACTCTTTTATCAGTCTTCGGGGATATGTTTAGAACTTTATCCAGAATAGTTTTTTAGCAAATCCAAGAATTTCCAATGAAGAAAAATATTTTATTCTCGTCTTCTTCCGCTTATCCGGGTCTGGGTCGTGGGGGCAGCATCCCAACTACTGAGTTCCAGACTGTCCTCTCCCTGGCCTTCTCCACCAGCTCCTCTGGCAGGACCCCAAGGCATTCCTGGGCCAGTTCGGAGATATACTTTCTCCAACGTGTCCTGGGTCGACCAGGGGGCCTCCTGCCGTCAGGACATGCCTGAAACACCTCCCTGGAGAGTTGTCCAGGAGGCATCCTATAAAGAAACCACCTCAACTGACACCTCTCGATATGGAAGAGCAGCGGCTCTACTTCGAGTCTCTCCCGAATGTCCGACCCATCCCTAAGGCTGAGCCCAGTCACCCCGTGGAGAAAACTAATTTTGGCCGCTTGTATCCGCAATCTTGTTCTTTGGTCATTACCCAAAGCTCATGACCATAGCGGAGGACTGGGCGGTAGATGGAGAGCCTTGCTTTCCGGCTCAGCTCCTTCCTCACCACAACAGACCGGTTCAGCATCCGCATCACAGCAGATGCTGCCCCAATCTGCCTGTCGATCTCCTACTCCCTCCTTCCCTCACTCGGGAACAAGAGCCCGAGATACTTGAACTCCTCCACTTGAGGCAGGACCCCTCTCCTGACCCAGAGTTGGCAAGCCGCTCTTTTCCGGTCGAGAACCGTGATCTCAGATTTTGAGGTTCCCAGCTACTTAACACTCAGCTGCAAACCTCCCCAGCAAGAGCTGTAGGTCAGAGCCTGGTGAAGCTAGGAGGACCACATCATCCGCATGAAGTAGAGATGAGATTCTCCTGCCACCAAACTCCACACCCTCAACACCACGGCAGCACATCCTGTCCATAAATTATTTTATTCGGTTATTTTTAAATGCTACAATTATGGACATTTTTTTTATTCTTTTAAATCATTTTCTGAATTCAGAGACTTTCCAGCATCTGACAAAAACAATTTTGAATTAAATCTTGAGTTTTCTGAGATGCTCATACCATAACAGTTTTCTTGGTCCTGCCCCTATTTAAAGAAGCTGAAACAGTCCATTATAGAAAAATTACAGGCTTGCTTGGGAGAAAAATAAAGCATTTATTTTATACAAGCTGCATTCACTTAGCAGTATCTGGCATGGATCCGCTGTGTGCACTGCAGCAGAATGAGAGGGAGAACGTGTCCACTGAGCTGAAAATTACTGGCATGAAGCAGGAGCTCTGCTGGGTCTCTGATATTAAAAGGATAGTTTCAGGGAAGAAGGTCAAGCTGAAGCTGCAGGAGATGAAGATGTTTCCTCAGCTGCTTCTTGGACAAACCCATGTGGTCAGGAGGAGGAGGAATCTTTATCCAGCTAGTCAGACTCGGTGACTCATTTATTTTATAAAGACGGTTGTTTCCAAGGCAGACTTGTCTAAGTTAATACAGCTGCTCATTATAGATAGGCTGATTTTGTCTCAACCTGGAAAAATGTTTTGTTGGAGAAACTGAAAAGAAAACCAGCAGATAACTGAAAAAAGCCCACAAAAATATTCATTACAATAAAAATGCTGAAAATATTACCAGCTATAACTTAAAACAGCCAAAAATGGAAATGCAAAGCAGAAGCTAACCTATTAGATCACAACTAAACCTTTTTTAATCAGAACTTGGTGTGCGGTAGTATTCTGTGAGGCATATATGGACAATTTTTTTTTCATTAGCGTGTAATTTTTGGATCTGGTTTACTTAGAGCAAAAATACTTTAATTAAATATTGTTTTTTTTTATCTGTGCAGAAAGCAGCAAAGGCTCTCAGTCAAGCTCTCCAGTATAATTCAGGCAAAAGCAGAGAAACTTTAGCTAACCAACTTTTTTTTTCCCGGAACTGTGCTGCTCTGGGTGGCTGCATGTTGCAGTAGCTCTGTTGACTTTATGTAAGTTTTGCCTTTTCTTGGGCATTTTTTCTTCTAGTTTCTCAAGAAACTGTATTTTTTGGACACTTTACTTTTCTGTTTCTGGTGCTGTGGAGCTTGGAGGATTTTTACTGCTATTTCTTAGCTTTTTTTCACTTTTTGAGCTTTTGTTATGATGCGTAACCATGGGAACAAGCTGTTTACAATCTGGAGCAGTTGATTAATATTGGAAAGGCTGAAATAATACCTCAACTGAAGCCACAAATCCCAAATGAGCTAAAACGCAAGAAGCGTGGGTGCAGAGCGGGAGCAAAACAGAGACAGAGAAAGAGGAAATTCAAACCATCTCTTCCATTGATCATAATGGGCAATACCATACCATACCATATTTATTTATAAAGCACCATTTCAAAATAGCATGGCAGCTAACCAAAGTGCTGTACATAAAAAAGCCAAATGCTTGATCAAGAAACACAATAAGAACAGGCAAAATACATAAGAACAAAGCATAAATAGTCGGAGATAAAAATTCCTACTAAATACAATAAAATAGGAGAACAGTTAACAGCACTATAAAAATAAAATAATGCGATGAATGATAAAAACTTTTGAAATGGCACAAATAAAACGAAATAATATACCAGATGGTGCGAGGTGCCAAAAGTGAGCAACTGAATCATAAAAACGGAATGACAAACTCAAATCAGGTGCTAGATTGTCATGAAAAGTGTCAAGGAGGGAAGGCAATGCTTAAGAAGTGCGTTTTCAGGGCCGACTTGAAACTGCTAACAGAGGGAGCCAGATGCACACGGAGGGGCAGAGAGTTCCAGAGTTTTGGGGCTGCACAAGAGAAGGCACGGTCCCCCCGTGATTTGTACCGAACCTTCGGAACAACAAGCAGCAGATGATCTGCTGACCGAAGGGCACGGGTGGGAACATATGGGGTTAGCAGGTCCGTCAGATAGGATGGGGATGGGCAGTACAAAGCCTTGTAAACATATAACAAGACCTTGAAGTTAATCCTAAATTTGACTGGGAGCCAGTGTAAATCTGCGAGGATGGGTGTGATGTGCATGCGTCTGTCGGTGTTGGTTAAAAATCTGGCCGCGGCATTTTGAACCTTCTGCAGTTTGCTTAGGGCTGAAGCATTAATCCCAATCAGGACAGAATTTGCGTAATCCAGACGTGAAGTAATAAAAGCATGAATGACTGTCTCAAGATCCGGGCGTTTGAGGATTGACTTAAGACGAGTGATGCGGCGAAGTTGGAAAAAGCAGGACTTGACAGAAGCGTTGACTTGTGAAGACATTGAAAGGTCAGAGTCAAGTTTCACACCTAGGCTAGTGGCACATGATTTGAGATTGAGTGGGAGAGTTGAGACATCTAAAGCACCATTCATGTTAGTGGGGCTAAAAAGAATGGCATCTGATTTGCTGTCATTTAACCGTAGGCAGTTTTGAGAAAGCCAGGATCTGACCTGGGAGAGGCATTCTGACATTATAGAAAATGAGTGCTGTTGGTTGATTTGAAGGTAGATCTGGCAATCATCTGCATAAATGTGGTAGTTAGCCCCGAGACTTGCTAAAATCTTACCAAGTGGTAGCATGTAAATTGAAAAGAGGAGAGGACCCAGGATGGAGCCCTGTGGTACTCCCCATGGAAGTGGGACATTGGGAGAAGAGCAGTCTCCAACATGAACACTAAAACACCGACCATTAAGGTATGACTTAAACCATTCTAGGGCAGTACCGGTCACACCCACCCAAAATTCAAGTCTGTGAAGTAGGATGGTGAGGTCTACAGTGTCGAATGCTGCAGTCAGGTCGAGTAAGAGTAACAACACATGGGAGCCAGATGTCATTGAGTACCCTAATGTGTGCAGATTCTGTGCTGCAATTACGTCTAAAACCTGACTGGAATGGGTCAAGAAGCCCATTGTCATCTAGGTGAGAAGTAAGCTGCGTGAGAGCCAGTTTCTCAACTACTTTTGATATGAATGGAAGTTTTGAGATTGGGCGATAATTGGCACAGTCAGACTGGTCAAGGCCAGGGAAGAGAGTGTCACATGATTATGGCAATGTGAGATCACTGGCCAACAAGATGGAGGAACTCCAAGCCCTTTCAAGGACTTAGCCAGAATTTCGGCAGTTTCGAACCACTGAAGGAGATAATGCAAAGATTCTCCAGAGAATCAAGAAAATGATGGACAACCCTGAGCATTCTCTTCACAAGACTGTCCGACAACGGAAGAGTGTCTTCAGTCAGAGGCTTCTTCAGTTTCGCTGCAACACTGACCGCTACTGGAGATCCTTCCTGCCAACAGCCATTGTAATATACAATAACTCTTTGATGACTTGATTATTATTATTATTCTGAGCTACTACAACAATCAATTTCCCTCTGGGATTAATAAAGTATTTTTGAATTTGAATTGAACTGAATTGAATTGAAAAAGAACAGAAACAGTACAGAGGAGCAGAACCGATGCTTATCAGGAATATTCGTGGGTCGCCTTTCATGCTAGAACCTCCACTGGATGAACACAACTCACATTTGTTTTGATTTCTGGTTGTAAAGCAGCCAATGCAAATGATTGGCTTTATTTGAAAATGATGTGGCTGCAAGCTGCTGCGGTGGCTAGCATGGTCACCTCCCAGTGGGATGGTTGCTGGTTTAAATCTCAACTGGGACCTTCTTTGTGTGGAACGAGCATGCAGGGAGCCTTAAAATGTAAAACTGGCATTTATAAATGTTTAATGTTATAAAGAGATAGTTTACTATAAGGCTCCATTTGACAGTTGTGGACATTTCTAATGCTGTGTAAAAACAATGTTTACAAATCTCACTGTGTTTACAAGTTAGTAGCTTATTCTGAAATGGTTTCATAGATTAAATAAATAAAACAGGCGTGACTCTGTTTTTTCTCTTTCTCACTCTAAATGTAGAATAAACACTTATTAATAACTTATAAATTATTTACTGATTAATTAATGACATGTCTTCATTTGTCATTTACACAAGAGTTTAACAAATGAGCTCATCTGATGGAGTTTAAACTAAAATTCTGTCTCTGCCAAACATGGAAGCTGCTATTCACAACTCGCCTAAGTCAATCTGACCTTTTGGGTACAAAATGGCATCACATTGTAATTTTACACTGTGAGACTGTAGCTGAAATCGCATTATTAAAATTATTATTTAATTCAAAGACAGAAAAATGTTTGAAAAGGTCAAAGTGATGAGAGAATAATAAATACAGGTAAATATGGAGGAATCCCTCTAGTTTGCTCCTGAGATTTTGAGCTCCCTTTTGTTTGGGCAACATGAAACATTTAAGTGTCCAGTCGCTGGAGGCACTTCAAGTGCACCCTGGAGCAAAAGTGTCATAATAAATTACAAACTCCAACCTTCTCGTAGTTAGAGAAGCCACCCATGACGGCGGGGTCAACAATGCCGTTGAGCATCATGGACAGCGGGTTGACGGACAGCGAGCGATCGTAGGCTTGCTGCTGCACAAGGTTGCTCAGCTTTTCATTGGTCTTTTCCATCGTCTCTATGGCGTTCTCCAAAGGACTGATCTCCTCCTGTCAAACACACAGAAACTCCTAATTAATTCACGAATTTGTTCAAATTCAGTAGTGCAGTAAACGGCATCAAGGCTGCTTCTCACCACCGAGACGGATTTGACTTCAAACCACTTGAGAATCCCTGGGAAGTGATAGGCGCAAACATACGTTGTTCTCTCAATCCACATAGTCTGTGGGCCAGAATATCAATAAATTATTTAAGGGGAAATTTTCATGTCTTTATTAATCTTCAGAGTGCCGTTTGTGCACACACAGCGCTGTTATTCATTAATTCTAATCTCTGCGTGTGTGCCTACACGTGAGTTTAGTGCTTCGAAAAGTGAATTTTAAAAAGTGCTCACTGCAAATTCATTGTCTGGGTCCTTTTCACCTTTCCGAAATGGCCTGGAGTACTGGAACTGGTCCACCTCATTGGTTCTATAATAGCTGCAGGAGAACAGAACAAGAATGAGTACACACTTTGCCCAGAGAGCTATAAATCCCCCCCCACCACCACCTGGATATTCACTAGTAAATCAGCTCTTAACTGTTTTGTTACGTACTTTAATATCTGCTCTGGAACCCCCTTGTCCTTAAACTGGGTTGGCACTTCCAGAACAGGCTTGACAGTAAAAGACTGGATGTCTGTTGACTTCAGCTCAAGATAAAACGACACGTCGTCAGAGGAGCAGACAAGACAGAGCACTGAATCATTTACTTCGTATTGAAAATGTCTAAACCTGAGGCCACCGTTAACTACGGGGTCATAACCTTTACTAATTAAATATCAGAAATAAAGTCTGCAGGAATTGTACTCATTATCTGCACCAGATCATGCTACACTAATGTAGGGGAAAGACCAAAAGCATTTCTGTGAGGATACACTGTCCAGGTGAGTTGCAGATGTTGTCTCCAGGGGGCGCTGTGCTGGTCATCCTGACTGCATTTGGGAACTGAGAAAGCAGCTTTTGGGTAAAGTCTTCCAGCCACTCATACTCTTTACCTCGATAGATAAACCTCTTGTTCTGCAGTAAACAAAAAGAGTAATAACACTGTGTAATACGTCAAATATCAAAGCCCTTATAAACTAATATTTATCATTAAAGTTTAGTTTGTGTGCAAAACGAGAGGCATGATTAATGCTTGGACAGAATGGCATTCACACGCTGCTCTCGTGACATCAAACAGCCAATAACCTTTATTGGAATTATTGTACTTTGCCCAAAGAAATATTTCAAAATGCCAGCTCATTGCATAAGCGCAGCAATAGGAGTGTTTCTCTGAGTCTCAATTTATTGAAACAGGTAATAATTGTCTTACCCTGAGGAAAGAGGGGAATCCGAGGCCGTAATATCCAACAGCAAAGTACTCTGGCTGTGGCCGCATGGCATGCATGATGTTTTCAAAGAACTTGGCTTGGTTTTTCTGACGCAGAAAACAAAAAATAGCTGTGGTCAGAAGGCCTTGCACGGTGCAGCATGTTGTAAACAGTCTGTCAGTGGTTACAAACTGAAACAAATAATGGTGTTCATACAAAAAAAGAAACATTTCCAGCAAGCGTGGTTTTAAATATGCACTTTCAGATCAATTATCAGCTTCAAAATAAACACTGAGGCTCCAGAGTTTTACTTCTCTAGTGCATTTAAGTTAGTTTTTTATGAGGCTGGTTTATTCTGACGTTTTAGAAGTGAATGTCTCCTCTCACCAGCAGCTGGCTCAGCTCCATGAAGTCAAACATGTGGGTCTCGTGCATCTTAGCCAGCTGTTTGTCCAGCTCTATGGCCTTCTCCCACATCTGGGAAGACATGTGAAAAGAGCTCATTTAAAAGAGGATATGAAAACCGGAACACAAATTCGTGTCTCGCTGCCACTTTCAATGAAACCTTTACAACTAGGGGGGAATTTAACGCGTTGATTATGATAAATTCATTAGAATAAAATAACGTGTTAAAAATTGATGCATTTAATCACAGTTTGCATCCCAGCACATGTCAGTGCACGATTTCCAACCAAGGGCCAAAACGGAAGAATTAGAAGAAAGCGATTTACTTTGACTGATGATGTTTTTGTGAAACATCAGTCAAACATTACAGACACGTTTTAATATTGTCTGACAAAACACAAACTTTAAATTGTCAGACACATTGACTGATGTGTCTCTTCTAGTAAAGATAAAAAATAAAATAAACTTCCTGAAAACCAGAAACTGCAGACTGTCTGATGAAAATGTACCCAGAGCTCGTAACACAGACATTTTTTTTATCATCCATCATGGATCTCCTCTGATCTCTGATGCTGCCTGTAGGCAGCACATTTTATTTATTGATCTGATTACTGGAAGCATTAAAAATGCTCTAAACAGTGGTTTATTAAAACAGTTCAAAAAACAGCTGGGATAAAAGCTGCAGCCTTCTCTAACTCTCTGGCTAACATCCAGTCACAACCAACTTGTCTCTCAAGTTGCTTTCATAAGACACACCATGCCTGTAATCAATTACTTCCGCCACAATGTGTCTTATGTTGCCATGGCAATTGGTGATGTGGGAATTTGGCAGCTTCATGCAGCCAAGCTTAGTAGTAATTAGGGATGAGTATTGGTGAAATGATGGTGATACGTTAGGCATCACTATACAGGGGAGATACAACACATCACGATTTATTGTGATACATTCAGTCAGACGGTATTAGCGATTTTTAGACTGAATTATTTACAGGAAAAGTTCAATAAACAGTCCAAACTGATACATAACATGTTTAACATGAGGTATCTGAACCATAATAGAGGGATTTACATTTCAATGGTGAAAACAAAACCCATTGCTGCCATCTAGCGGTTGGCAGTTGAATTGCACAAAAAGAAAAGAAAATACACAAATGTTTGCATGGAAATCATTCCAAAAATTAGATACACAGCTGTTGCATATTGATATAATATCGCAGGAAAATATATCACAATATATTGTGATATCAATATTTTTGATGCACAGCTTTTGAATATCGATCCCTAGTAGTAATATTACTGCAACAGCGGACTTGTGAATGAAGATTACACCTTGGCACAACAGAGAGTAGGGTCATGATCACGTTTGGAAAGTGAGCCGAGCCCATCTGCAACTATACTGAAAATTTAGCACAGGCATACGTTTCGCTTTGTAACCAGAATCAGCTGAGATGGCAAACTGGAGCGATGCAGAGCTCCGGGAGCTTCTCTCCATTAGAGCTGAAGCTCAGATCACCAGACAGTTCACAGAGACTGTGAGGGACAGCCACCGGCTTGTCAAAACAACTTAAGGAGCGCCGTTTCAATCACAAATCACCCTCACCCTTCTGTCACAATAACAAGCTAGTTATGTCAAAGCTAAAAGGAAGTTTGTGATCTTTTCTGAAAAGCACATGATCTCGCCACATTACCGGCACAGTCCGACTACTCATGGACAACCATTGGCTCCCTGATGATGATGATGCAGCAAATTTGCTTTCAAGGAACAGTAAGAGTGCAACAGCACTCACAAAAACCCTTTATGGATCATTACAATATTTTGAAACATTCAGATGTCTTCCAGTGTTTCAAAATAAGTCCTAATAATTATATAATAATCCCCAAAAAATTAGATAATTTTCTGATCAATTCTCTCGGTTTATTAGATTTTTGTGAACAGTGATAGTTTAATCCTTATGGTCGAAAACGGTTTGAAATTTGCTGAAATAATTTTTTTATGTCAACAGATTATTGTCACAATAAAAATATGTATAAGTAAATAATAAATTGTTCCGTGTGAGTTACTCCCACATCTGCATGTCTGGCAGGTGTTGCTCAAACACTTTTTGTGAACACTGTTATTATTTAAAGGTGTGGAACTCAGAAAAACTAATTTTAATGATTATTTATGATCATAATCCATCACTCTGAGTTTTTCATGCAGGCTGAATATGAAAATAGTCTCCTACAACTATCTCCCGCATTAGCTTCTGATAGAAAATGGACAATGAAACTCTAGGATTTCAAAAGCCTGACAGATCTACGTCACAGTGTAATTTAATATTCATGGACTCACCAGCCTTGACTCGTGACGGGGAAGGCTGTTTTTGATTTAACAGGAATTGGCAGAGAACGTCTCGGCTAGTAGAAGCTAACCATTAGCATTAGCCACCACCTCACTCCTCCAGGCTTGTGTTATTTGTGGAGATAAAACATCAATGTTGCAAGTCAGTGGTGGAGCCACTGTTGTCCAATCCGAGACAAGACGTCCAAACATCAGGAAATAAGACTCAAAATCCTGAAGCATTCTGCCACTCTGTGCAGCAGAGTTTTTAGTGCTGATCCAAGCGTTTCTGGGCATTTTTTTGCCCCCCCCCCCCCCCCCCCAGTACGACTGGCAAGGCATTAATTCCTACCAGAGACCACTGCAAATGTATGAATGAATGAACCACACCTTTAAAAGACAACACCATAGGGCGGGGCGATATGGCCTAAAATCAATATCACGATACATTGAGAATTTCACCTCAATAACGATAAATGGACGATAACTACAGGTGTGCACAGAAACCAAAGTTGTCCACTAGATGGGGCTGTCACATTTTTATGTGACTCAAGGTGTTACAGCTTCTTAAACAGACATGAATGTTGCCAACCTACCAACCTACACACTCATTATTTTATTATAAAATTTATTGACACGGGAAAAATAATCCCGATAAGAGTCAGAAATTTCGATAACGATACACTTTTGATATATAAAAGCATTTTTTTGGAAATTAAAAGAGCTTGAGTTTACAATATTAATGCCCATGTCTGTTGTTTGACTCTTGGCCTCACTAAAATTATTTTTAATTAAAAAAATTGCTTTGGGGCAAATTTTCTCAAACAATTAAAAGGTGAATTATCCAGATGAATTAATTACGAAGCCCCTGATTATTTCGAGTCTGACCCCATTTACAACACAGAGCTCTGTGGTTGGCGACTAAGATGAAGCAACTTCCTGATGAGTTTTGAAATGATACCACAGGGAAAACTATGCTTCATGTCAAGTTGGCAATGCAAAGCAGTTATTAGCACCTTGCCCTTGTCCAAGTAGCCTATGATCTCCTGGAAGAGCCTCTCTTTCAGTTCCTGCTGTGTCCACATGTACTCCCCATCTCGAGGTATCAGATGAGGCGCACAAGGCTTATCAGACCACTGAAGAAGGAAGCAGACATAAAGATGAATTATTTAAGAGGCAAAGTCAAACTCAAATGATCTTTGTTTCAGTTAAAAAAAAGTTTTATGTGAAGGAGACCTCGAGTAACTCGGCATGTAATAGCAGCGTATAAGCAGCCTCTGTGTAGTTCTCGCAGTCCAGGTGCAAATCCCGCAGTTTATACAAATATCTGGTTACAAAAAGCCAGCAGTTAGACACAGACACCAGTCCAAAGTCCAGACAGTGCAGGCCTTCTCCTGACTCACCGGATGTAAATGTCCTCCCTCTTTTTTTCTTTGTAGAAATTCTGCAGACAAGAGAACGTTTTAATATCACATAACAGCAAACAACCTTTTCTAATCATCGCGCGTGTATTTACTCTAATACATGCACGCGAAGGGCTAAAGGCCCAATTATGTTCAATGTCAAATACAAGAGAGACACAGAAATGTTAGAGCTTTCTAGAGAAACTGTGCACGTAATTATTAACACGTGTATGCCGTGACATTGTCTGGGCAAAGAGAGAGGTGGGGACAGATCAGTATGAATGGAGGTATGTGCTGGATCGAATTGTTTGGTCTGAAGTCTCAACTACCCTCCTAAAGCATGCACAAGATGTGTTTGGGCAGCGAAAATGTAAAGCGAGCATTGACGAGCCTCAACGTTAGTAAACACAGCCTGCAGGAGAAAACCCCACCAGAACATTGACAGTGCAGCTCATGCGGTGCTCTGGACTTCCATCTTGAGTGATGGTGCGGTACGCTAGAAGGTTCTCCAGCAGGCTGCTCAGCAGCAGAGCCAGCTCCTCTCCTGACTGGGACAGGTATCGGTGGCGTCTGCAGTGATCCAGTAATCTGCCAGGGCACACACATTTCCTTCCAGTCTTCAAATTCATATCTGGCAAGCTAAAGACTTTGATAAGAAGCGGCTTATAATTTAATCAAACCACCTTGATAACCTGGTTTACTGCAGATGTTATGAAATCTTTTGAATTTCTATCTGTATCCCACACAAGATGGCTTTAAAAGTTAGCCTAATGTGTTTCACTTCATAAACAAGTTTACAAATGATTTGTGTTTGATCTGCTCTGCCGCCTTACGTTTTTTCCAGAAGGACTTTGTACTGCTCATCTCCTCGGCCTCCTTCTACCTCTTGATCCAATTTTTTAATCAGTTCATTTTCAAACTGCAAACATAAAAGCAGAAAAAGTTTGATCCTAAAGTTAAACACCACATTTATCCCAAAGAAGCTTATACCTTTCTAAAATTGTGTGCAGGACTGAAGTTGTGCTCGCACTGCATCATATCAAAGAAGATGGGAATGGTAGCCTTCCTGAGTTCTGGCTCAGGAACCAGAGTGACCTCCAGAATGGGCCCGACCATGGCTGGGATGAACTTCATTTTGTGGGGGCCTGAGGGACAACAAACATTATCACGCAGCATGGCTTCAGACGCCAATATGCCGCCTCTTCACTTCTCAACAAACAGAAGAGAAATCTAATAATGTGCCAAAGAAAAACAACACACAACGAAACTGGACAATAAAACATATTGTGTTGTTATTGCCTCTGCATTACCAGCAGGAGCCGAATAAACAGCTCCACAAACGCTACGATAACAGCAGCGTTATCAGCTCACCGAGGTTGTACCACATGTCTCTGATCTTAAACCCAATGGTCTTCCTCATGTCTCCATATCTGCAACCAATGTGAATCAAACGACAGTTTAATTAGGATCCCATCAATTAATTGACTTTTTGAGATGAACTGTAGGATATCTCACTTGTTTAGTATCTTGTTTCGTTTCTCTTGTGAGAAGGACTCCAGCTGTAGAGATTTGTGAGTGAGGAACGCCACGGTCAAATGGAAGTAGTTGTTCCAAAGCTGCAAGAAAATCAGGATTTCTAAATAATGATATTTTATTTAGCTTCTTGTGAATCTCAGTTTAGTATCTGACAAAAGGATTTTAATCTGTGTAAAAGTTATAAATAACTATAATCATGTGATTGACTAAATCATTCATAAACAGGCGAATGGGAAAAAACACAATAACAAGGAAAATGTGTTTCTTTAGTTTGGGGCTGGAAGATAATTCAATAGTTCAATATATCTGTCGATAGACATGTGGTGCAACAGAAAAAAAATGGGTGGATAAAATTTTGATTAAAAAAGTTTCCTTTTTTCATTATAACCTATCAGGTAGCAGCATACTAGACTCTACTTACTCCTAAACAATCAAAACCACTGACTCGAGCACGCTACCTCACAAGGCCCACTTCTCAAGCCAAAACAAAGCATGAGGCACCGAGATGTCTCAGCGAGAAGAGGCGGAGGAAAAACTAAATGGCCAGGGCTGCAAGTAAAATATATTTTCTACAATTTTTAAAATATTTTCTATAATTATCAATATTGATCAATATAAAAATTTGTTATCGATATACTTTTATTTCTATATCATTCAGCCCTAGTTTGTGTTCTTCAAAGTAAAATCATGTGAGTTTTACTAAAATTTACACATTTATGATTTTTGGTTTGTTTGTGGCGGTTTAGTTGAACGTGTGTATATGATGCAGTGTTAAGTTAGAATATACACATAATTAATAGGACTACAAAAAAAGAAATACACTGCTGACCCTTATAATATTCTGAATATCATATAGTACATATAATATTATACAGTATTTATCAGAATACATGTTATAAAGGAGTAGGAAGAAACAACTGTTTATTTAATCTCACCCCTTCTCGACATCCAATAACTAATAATTAGTTAATGTATTCCATGTTGCACTTTGTCTAAAGATTAGTCGTGAACAATTAAGTGCTTGCAATTTATTTACATAATTGCATAACAAACAAACACACATGGGATCATTACAACTACTATGAAGCTCTAAATAAACATTCAGCGCGTTGAAGCACATTCTGCTAGGGGACCTTCTTCCTCTTCATACCGAGTAAAACTCATCTCTTTAATCTGCCTTTTAAACATCGTCATGCTTGGATTAAAAATAAAGGAATCTTGTGCATTTCCAGCATAAGAGACTTAGAAAATCACTTTGATGAGGAGGAACTGACCTGCTTTCAAACTGATTAAGCATCAAAATATTTCTTAACAAGAACACCAGGAAAATGTTTGTTATTTTTTTTCTAAGGGCATAACTGTTGTGTCCGGGCAGACCAAACACAACATTACCAATAATTCTCCTATTCACCTTAGTCAAGATTTACCTTGTAACAACAAAAACAAAGTCTGCTGTGTCTCATTCCTAGACAGAGTTAGGCAAGATCCAAGTGACTGCTAGCTTTTCATACAAACACGATTTCCCCCAAAAGAGGTCATTCATGAAGCCCTCTAAAGTGGGTGAGCAAGTAGTTATTTATAAATTTTACACTGAAACACATTTTAAAATGGCTATGGAGTCCCTTTGAGGCAGGGAGAACAAGCCTCACCTGTAGTTCAAAGTGAGTCTGGTCCAGGAAAAGCCTGTTGAGCACATTTGAGTACTGGTTAATGGCTCTCAGGAAGACCTGCATCTGCACCAGGTTCATGACCATCCAATCAGCAGGAAAGACGTTTCCCATGAGGTACTTAAACATGATGAAGGTCTCCATAAGGAAGTCCTAAAACCAGAAAAATAAAACCTTTATAGCAAATGCATCATCTCAGCATCGTTTAGGAAATGCAGTAGCAACCAAAAGCTGAAAACACACACACACAGGTGAATGTGCATCACTGCCCTCACATGTCAGTCACACATGATGCCCTTTAGCTTAATGGAGGCCCACTAACCTCCTCATCCTGTCAGTGCAATCAGCTGTATGAAATGTCTGTAATCAATATTCTCTTAAGGAGCAGTAAGTGGTCAGGGTGGTTTATAGCGCATTATTGATGGGAGGCTTCGGGACAAGATGTAGCCAACAGAGAAGGAACCGAGACACTTACAATGATATCCTGTCTCGTTTTGAAGGTGCTGATGTAGTGGGTGTAATGCATGTCATCCATTTGCTTCAGGATGGCCGTCATGCAGGCAAGATAGTGGCCCTGCCAAAGAGGTGATGGCCATTACTCAAGAGAGTTCACAAAAAGCAGATGCACATGCATGATGAAGCACACGTCAAACTCATTTTGCTGAGGCCGCGTTGATGTTGGGACACATCCGATCTGTTGATGTGTTGAGTCTTACAATGAGAGGAGAGGATCTGTCCATGTTGATGACAGTGCGGTTAACCCTACGGAGGAGACGCTCCATTATCAGCTGAATGTGACCTCTGGTTGGACCCTGAGAATAAAGAACAGACCCAGGAACAGCTATCAGATAAACACAACCTGTGGACTCTAACATCAGATTAAATGGGGCTGATTCACACTGAAGTGCAAAATCTTGCAATATGTTTTAACTAAAACTAGTTGGATGGTTTGTTTTTAGGTAAACTGACTGATATAATCATGGCCAGAACCGGGCCCTTCATTAGTTAGAATAAGAGGCTTTTGTTTTTCTGTCATAAACATCAACAGATCACAGCGGGAAGAGGCTCTTGGGTGATGTGGACCAGTCAGTGGAGGGACTTTCTCAGATGCTGATTCTTCTGAAGACTGACAACCATCTCACATGTGTGTGGGGGGTGGACTGTTGGTACTAGTTATTCTCAGAGTGATGGGCTGTGATAAATGCTTCTCTAAAATCCTGAAGATGTTTTTGCCCGTTGAGTTTGTGTCCTTGTGCCCCTGAGTGTTACAGACTAGCAGGCTGTCCAAAAGCTTACCTGATGCTGAGAACACAGGTTCTGGGTTTTCACCGTCAGAGCTGAATGGATATCAAGATGAGTCATGTCTTACATTGTTGATCATCTGAGATCTTTATTAATTATTATTTGATCATTATTGATATTATTTAGCATTGTTGGACAAATGTTGGACAAAATATTCTTATTTTTATTTTTTTATTCATCTTTTTTCCCCATCGCTGCAAGTCCATTTCATCTGTGCTAAATATATCAGTATAACTATGATGCAATTCTCCTTTCTACCTATGGGCCTATTACACCAGTTAAAATCTTCTGGATCATTTAACACTGAACAAAAAAAAAAAGACTATTCTACTTCACAGGAAGATTTTCCCAGACCAGATTGGAAGTGTAGTCCCTCCAGCATGCTCAGGGTCTGCCCACAGGCTTCCCTCCAAGCCAAACTTTCCTGGACATAAGCTCTTAAGAGAAGCCAAATGATCTCTGCAGGATCCAAAAAGCTGCCGTTTTATTGTGAACTCCCTACAGATGACTGAGTGTGGACCTCAGATCTTGGTTCCAAGTGCCAGAATGAATCAATGCTGCAGCTGATTTCCAACAATCAATCTCCCTTTTGTGTGCATTAAGGTAAACTCTTTACCACGTCTTTGCGGCCCAGGTTGTCCAGCACAGTGCTGAGTAGTTGGACACAAGCCTCGTAGTCCGGTTTACAAGAGTGGTCGTCTAGCTGCCCACTCAGCTGGTCAGTGATGAGTGGCAGAAGAACATCTCGACATTCTGCAGCAACAAACAAGAAAAGCTGAATCCACATTAGATCTCAAATCCCATTCCCTTCTAATTAATCTTACCTGGTGAATAATATACACAAGTAATGCATGGAAGAAGCTTTTTAATTTGTTTTTCTTCATGACTGAAATGTCATGACGTAGTTTTGGGGCCACAAACATTCCTACCTGGCTGCCTGAAAAGGTCACTCTCAACAATTTTGCACATGCAGCCCAGCTTCTGACGCACGAGCTGCGAATCTGGAATGCTACCAATGAACTTTGCAAGGAGAACACTAAAAGAAAACACAAAGAAACAGCTGTCTAGACAACTCTAATGCAAATTTTTTTCATAACTTGTAATTATTGTCACAGAGAGCTAATAAGCAGCAGATTGATTTTACAGCAGCAGGAACAACACCTTTACTCAGAAGCAAGTCTAATAATTTGCACTGAGACAGGCAATTATCATTTTCTGTTGTGCAAACCCTCTGGTGACTTACCTGAGCTTTATGGGATCAAACACTGTCTGGATGTCATTAATGATGCTGGGGAGGTATTTCAATATCGCCCCCTAAAAATATATAAAACATAAAATAAAAATTTTTAAATCTGTTCTCATCAGACCGAATCTCAGGGGTGTTTTTTCTTTCTTCTTTCTATTAAAACAAGTGTTTCACCAGCTTTAGCCCTCACTTTACTGAAACTGCAAACAAGGATGTCACTTGATGTTGCTGACAGTGTAATTTTTCATTGCCTATTCAATAACATTATCTAAATGCATTTGATAAATTTAGTAGTAAGCACGGGCTGGTGGGTTTCAAGGTATACCGCAGAAAGGTCCAATGCAGAAATGCCTCTTATTAAGGCAGCATAAGAAACGTTATGCAGTGCCAGGCTAAGTTTACCATTATTCTCCTGTTCCTGTTCCATCTGTGATGCTAATACGTTAGCAGTTACACAGGCAGGCCACACGGCTGAAGGACGTGCATCTTCTATCCTGTCTAAAAGGATGAAGTCAGTTTTGGGAATTATCTGAATATTGAAAAATAGACTAGCTGCCATGGCTTGGAGGAATGAAGACCCTTAAAGTTGAAGAACTTCATGCAAAGAGTAGCTGCTAAAGGAGGTAACACTTTAATTTAATTTTACAGTCATGAGCTACATCACAGCTGAGCTTCAGATGGAGGATTTGGAGTCTTATTTCCTGACATTTGGACATCTTTACATTAGACGATTCCAACCACTGTCACATGAATAAACAAATACACATTAACCCCCCGTCACCCTATGAAACAGATAAACAAATGACAAAAAGATGGAAAAACTATCGATTGTTAATATCGGCCCAGTTTTATTTATCGAACTGATACGATATGTTAAAAAAATGACTAACATCGGCCGATACCATTACTGAAGCTGATATATCGTGCATCCCTACTTAAAACAGTAAAATTTTTCTTTCAAAGTAAATAGCAATGTGTTCAAGAAAGACTTTTATTTTATGTGGAGGCATTTCATAAAAAAGCATCAAGTTTTGTCATACTGCAATACTATAAAACTGTGGTATTTCTGCTGCTTGCCTATTTAAATATAAACAATATAAACAACATATCAGAAATTTACTGTCATTGTGACAAATATGCGCACGACAGTAGGTAGAGGCAGAAGATCATCCACCTCTGGTTCAGCTGATTTCAGTTGTGCTGAAGACGGTGCACAGGATGAGCATGTCTCTGATTTTGGTGGCTCCTCAGTGGCACACAAAACCTTGGTATCCAGAAGTGATTAATCTGTGTTTTATCATCTGGATTTGATGGCCCTTTTGGTGGCTCATGAAGTACTTTCTGCTGGGTCTGAGTTGCCATCTTAGATGGCGTTGTCGGCACAGGTTTGATAGCTGCTCATGGGGCGTATTTATAATAATAATGCATTGAACTTATATAGCGCTTTACAAGACACCCAAAGACGCTTTCACACACACTCTCATTCACACACTGCTAGTGATGGTAAGCTACTTGTAGCCACAGCCGCCCTGGGGAGGTCTGACAGAGGCGAGGCTGCCGTTTGGCGCCGTCGGCCCCTCTGACCACCACTAACACAGGCAAGTTTGGTGAAGTGTCTTGCCCAAGGACACAACAGCAGGATACCCCTAGCGGGAGCTGGAATCGAACCCATGACCCTCCGATCCTGAGGAAACCCGCTCTACCACCTGAGCTACTGCTGCCCCAGTATTTATATGTCCCATTGTACCTTCGTTGTACCGCGTTCCTCTCCTTCAGGGAGCAGTGGTTATATGCATAACCTAACGTTTTCTTTTCCACTGTCACCCTCATACTGTGCTGCTCAGAATGGAGACTGCACTAAAACAATCCTTCAATCTAGGCTCCTGGTTTCTTTCTATAGGGCATTTTTAATTGATGAAAATCTAGTTTTATTCAAATGTAATTACGCTTGCTGCATCCAATCAGCATGAATCTGTTCCTGGTATGATTTAGATATGCCGCTTTGTACAGAGCTGTGAGTTGACTTGGGTCATGATCTGGAGCTTTATAAATAAACCTAATTGAGTTGATCTGAATAGGAATTAAACACAAAAATTGTTGTGCATGTTGTAATGACAACAGATAAAAGTAAAGAACTTATTCACAATTACTGTCATCACATTGTGTAGTGTGTGGCCGCAGCATTCAACCAAATGCACCAGATTTGTTCAAAAGTATAAATTCATGTAGTTCAATCCAAATTTGTTATTTTAAAACATTTTCAGTTCTACAAAGTTAAAATAAACACATAAACACACAACTTACCTTTATCTTCACTGCCTCTTCCAGAGGTCTGTCCATTAGAGTGTTGAACGAGAGGAAAAGCGTATGAATGGAGTTAAAGAAAGCATCTCCATCTTCACTGTTCACACAACATCTAAGTAAGGAAGCAAAAAAACTTCACAAAAATCATCTCTAAAATATTAAAATTCTGAGTGCATGCATGTGTGACGGGACTCCTGATACCTGAAAGACAGGACTCTTGACTGTACAATAAACCTGAAAAGGTACTTGAGAGCTTTAAGTGCTGCGTAGAGCCTCTCTGTCAGGGTGGGCTCCTCAGCGTGACCCACATAGTAGTTAAGCACCTTGGTTAGTTTCCTGAGAGAGTGAATAAGTCAGACTGGTAATTTGGGAGCAGGCGGAGGAGAGGAGCAACGGAGCAAAAAAGTACTAAAAATAAAAGCCAACAAGTGTAGGCGACCAAGAGCTTTGTACTCACATGTAAGCCAGAGTGGCACTGAAGTGTTTGTTGATATAAGTTTCCAGGACTGGATTAAAATGCTGGAATTTAATGTCACCAATAAGGTTGATAATGAAAACCTGTTAAACACAAAAATGGGAAACAAATTCAGAGCTTTATGTAATACAGTTTGACCGCATGAGCAAACAGGATTCACAGAAAACCAGTGTTACAGTTAAGAGGTTTGTCCTCTGCTGCTGATGATGTATCTGCGCTGCATCAGGGGTTCCCTAATACTAATAACTTTCTGCAACTGCGGATTTGGTTGTTTTGCAAGAGAAGTGCTAAAGACAAAGTGTCAGACAACATCAAGAAGCAACATGATTATTGTTTTAAATAAATCACATGAAGGCATGAAATTCACATGAAGGCGAGAGACACAATGTCATTTAAGTATGGAGCTGACGGTCCCCATATTTCAGTTCTATTTGAAAGCACGGTGATGCATTAGGCTCCTCATATGCAAAGTGCCACAAAGAGTTATGAAACATTTTAAAAAATAATGCAGAAACAAAAGTTTCTTTCCTTTCATCAGTTTTGCAGACGCCACAGAAAAAGTAGGACCCAGACAATCCATTTCTGAGGCATAAGAGTTATATTTTGTGAGATTGATGCATTTCAATCCTCTGTCAAGCTTTTTGTAATGGCCTAAACCATGACCTTAAATGTCTTAACACTTGAAGGCTGCTACTAAAAAGCAGTCAAAGGAAATGCTTTTATCACAGTAGGCAACACTGACAGCCTCCTTCTCTGTGTATGCGTCCACCATATAAGTGTTTTTATTTGCATTCCATGTGAATGAAGCTAAATATTTGTAACTTTCCTTGACTGACAATTATACCAACAATGGTTTTACCAAAGACTAACCAGGGCATTGAACACCAGAGTGTCATAAGTGTCCTTTTCTGAAGTCTCCATCATGATGTTGAACAGAGCATCGAGAGTGTCCTGAAGGAACTGTGGACGAAACACAAACCAGTAAAACCAGCATTCTTTTTGGTTCAAATAGATATTCTCACAACAGATGCCCACGACCAACTCTGCATAAAACCACGCACCACTCTGAGTTCGAAGCATCTGTGTAATCAGCTGAAGTGGTAGCAGAGGTGATTTTGGTGAGATTACACTTTGTAACTAGCAAATTATTCAATATATGCATTTAAAAGTAGCCTGACCAGCCAGCCCCCTGCTTCCTTATGGGAAGCATTGGGTCTGGGAACTTTCCTATTCCAATAACCCCACCTCCTGAGAATTCTAACTGAGCCAATCAGCGCTGAGCAGTGTACGTCGCACAGCACAACGCTCAGTTTTTCATAAACATGGCGTTTGAAGCAAAGTTCACAGCAGCTCTTACCTCTGTTCTAAATGACTTGGATATGTCTTTAAAACCTCAACAAGTAGACGCGCTAACAGCCTTTCTTCTAAAGGAAGATGTGTGTGCCATCACCAGATGCCATTTTGGACTACAGCTAAAAAACTGCAGAGTCAAGCGTTACAGTCGGCATTTCCACTGTTTTTCTGATTGGTTATTTTTGAGCCGGCTGGTCCCGCCCCTCATGTGCCTCTCTGCCAGCAGGTAACCGATCTAGTTCTCTATGTATAATTAAACAGAGGATGAGTCTGGCAGGCCAGGCTAATATAAAGGTGCTCTAGAATAACTTTTCTACAATTGGAAACGTGTTCTTTCAGCCTCTACACCCGGGGTCTCCAACTAAATATGTTGAGGGGCCAGAGTTTTTCTCTTCAGACATCGTGGCCAGATGCTCTTCTAAACTAAAGTTCAAGTATTACTGCATATTATTAATTTAACTCATTAACTGCCACTGACAATAAGTCGCTATTTTAAATCCAACCGTTCACTGCCAATGATGACTTAAGTCGTCATTTGCATTTTTTACTTAAGTGGGCGTCGGAACAAGCCCTCGCATCGTGTGAGCAAACATCTCAGTTCTGAAGTCGATCTTCATCCGCATACGTCACAGGTGATGTGATCAGCAATCAGAAAATCAATGTGATAGGAGATCGTTTTGGGCCGTTGTTGTAAAAAAAGGGAGATGCAAACCGGAAAAGCTTCTGCCGATAAGAATTTGACAACGGATTATGAAAGAACGGATAACGCTTGAAACGCGCAGATTCTCCCTGATGTAAGAGGTGAGCCTCCTCTTTATTTTGTTAGTTTTGGTGTGGACATCATCCTAGTGCGCAACGTTCTGTGACTCTTAAAAAACAGTGAAAAAGCTGAACAACGCTGGCAGCGAATGGCTTTTCCTATTCAGAAAACGGCTGGCAGTGAATGAGTCGATATATTCCCTGGATGCCAAGTGCTGTAGCATAATCAGCATCAAACACAAGAACTAAATCTAGAGCAAATTTTAGGAACATTTGTCAAGCAGAAGAAACTTCTGCAAATTAGCATCACAATGTTTTTATATTCTATAAATACTTAGATATAAATTAACATGTTTTTTTCTTCTGGGATATCAGTTGATCCACATGATGGAAGTAAAGTTAAGGCTGCACAATATATTGCAACAAAACTGTCATTAAAATAACAATGTGAATAATATTTCTAACTGCTAGCTTCACAATAAACCAGTCTGTTATTTATTCCAAGTGACATGCATGTGCATGCTGATCTGATGGAGTCTGCCCCTGATGTCCACACCTGCTTTAGATGATGGTGGCTTTTGTCGTGACAGAACTCCGTAAGAGGCCTGAGGAAAATGTGAGTTTTGCCATATTGTTTTAGCAACATTCAAGAAAAACAATGCTATTTCTAATATGACGCTGCCCGAGGTGAAACTCGAGTGTTGGTGTTTAAAAGCAGACGCTGCTGCAGAACTCTTTTCCAAATTCTAAAGAGAAAATAATTCCACTAAACAGCAGGAAAGACAAAAGCATTTTACCAAAATAAAAGTCTACTGGAGATCCAAACACACAAAAATGACTAAACCTTTGACTTTTCTTCTATTTTTTATTGGATGCTTAAAAGAAAATGAACCTACTTTTCATCTAACAAGTAAATAGATTCTATTTTATTGGTGCTGTGATGTAGTAAACATGATTCATCACATGCAGCTGCTATACTTACACCTTAGTACAGAATCATGTAAGAAACCGTGTTCATCTACTGGTCTGTGGATCACTAACGAGCTTGATTCAAATTCTGATTTCATAACATGGATTGTTCATAAGACCCCAAAATCTTAAGTCCCTATGGGTGAGACGAAGTAACAAGTCTTTTTTTTTTTGTGATACTGTATAAAGCAGTCCTAGAATTCAGAACCGCATTTATGTTGTTGTTGTTTTTGAATAAAGGCAGCTTGGGGAGTTTAGTGTAGCATATAAACAAGTCTGTGCCGTTGCTGAGCTGCTTTCCAATCTAAAGGACTAATGTAGTAACGGCCACTGAGAAACGATCACTTCTGAGAAAGGCTGGAATAACACATCATAGGCTTAGACACACCTCCTTACATTTGCATTGCCCAACCCACTTCAACATCGGCAAAATGTAAATGATGTTACAGTGCTGCTAGCCGCAAAACAACGCAAGCCCATGCCATGTTTACTGCCAGCATGATCTACTGTTAGCGTCTTTGTTGGATGAGAGGAAAACAAACAAGAATGTTGGGAGCACATGTGTAACATTTCAAGATATATTGGGAATATCCAGACTTTGAATGAATGCCAGATGGATCCACAGCTGCCTATTGAGTGATGTACACAGCTGTACTCAGTTTCTAGCTTCAGGCTGCTTCATAGAGCCATCAAGGTAAACCAACCAATCAGCAGGAAGCTCATTTACTGGGAAAACAGTCTTTCTATTGTAACGCTTTTTTTAAGGGTTCTGTTTGACCATTTATCAGGGCTACTGGTAGCCTAGTGAACTAGACCAAATTCTTGCTTTGCAAAGTTTGGTCTAGGAACGCTCCACTGGAACTTCTGCAGCTCCTAACAGCACTCAGGCTGGCCAATCACAGCTCTCTAGAGGGGTTTCAAACACAAAGAGCTGTGATTGGTCCATAATGGTGGGCCAATCATAGTGCCCTATCTGCTTAATGAACAAATCACAGAGCTTTATCTGCTTTGTGGGCCAATCAGGGCACTCTGCATGCCTGGTGGGTGGGATGATGCAACTTAGTGAAACAAGATGGCGACAGCTCGTTTGAAACTGCTTTTACATCAATTTTGGACTATTAGAACTTGGGCTTCATTAGAATCAGGAGCAGATAGATGTATTTAAGTGCTTTTTTCTTAAAGAAAAAATTATGTTTTCTCCTTCTTCAACTGCGGACCACCTCATTTACCGATGGCTGTCGCGGTGAGTATGTCACATTCATTGTCCAGTATCATGCGGAGATCATTTGAAAGACAACGGTAGAACCCGCCTCACAACCGAGAGCCATCAATGGAGCGTTGCTAAATAATACATTTATTTAGTCTGGCTTGCCAGGCTAGGCTACTGAGACATTTTGGGCTATAACAAAGTTTATTTTGTATCTTAGAGGCTCAAACAAGTTTCCAATTGAAAAAGCAATTGTTCTAGGGCTGTTTTACTAGCAGTTGAGTCCTGGTCTCATGCTTTTGTCCTCAACTTTGACCAATGTGTGGACTTACTTTGACAATCTCGCCTCCTTCCACCTCCATGAGTCTTTGTAAAATCTGCTGAAGATCCTCAGGATTAGATCTCCAGTTCAACAGACCAAGCAGATCCACTAAAGAGAGAAAATACATCAACACCCAACAACAGATCCTATAAGGGCAACCTAGCTTGTGTTAGAACACAAGCGAAGGTAACTGAGTTAAGAGCTTAAAATTTCAATAACAACATAATTAGTCCCATGTCTGGAAACATCAGCAAAGTATTAGCAACACAGATCAGCTTAATTAAATTTAAAGCGATCTGTTGAGGGGCTGCAAATTCGTCCTTCACTGGATTCCTAAAGATGACTCCTGACAAGATGCATTTTAATTATCATTGACTTCCTGACTGGGGGGTTGGGTAAACTAGAAATGAGCCTGGCAGTACCGTTCTGGGTCAGCTTAGTGGAGCAGGTGAGCATTGCTATCTGGAAGCTGTCTTTAGTCATAGGAATAGCCCCCGAATGGTGGAACTGCTTCCCCGTCTGCTTCTCCTTTTCCTCCACCTCAGCCCAGGTTGCCGGCAAAGTGAGGTAAACCTTTGCATCTTCCACCTTTTTCACATCAACCTGAGAAATTTATAGCACATAGAATAAATCATGGAGCACATTGATTGATGGAGATGTAACCTCATATTTATCGACTGGCCAGAGATTGATGTATAAGCCAGCTGTCCACAGTCTGAGGTTCACAACAGATTTTTGCATAATTGGATCACCAACCTTCAGTGAATTCAATTCAACCTGTAATACAAATACTGAAATATTATCCTGTGACACTACCTTGTAGACGATAAGTTCGTGCTTGCCATCTTTTAGCGTGGTCCCATCTCCTCTCATTAGCCTGACGAAGGCCATACCGAAAGGCTTCTCTGATTTGTCCCTGGCTGAAGGACACACAGGGGCATAAATTGGGAGTAAATCCAACACTAGTTGTTTATAAACATGCTCTTCCAGGGAAATAACCATAACTCACAGTCTTGGGAGGATCTGTGTCGAAACATCACCCTGAGATGGCAGCGGCACACGTCTTCAATTGGAATTGTAACCTTTAAGGGGAATAATGTACACAAAAGGAAGGAAATTTGTATGAGCAGAATATTATACCTATAATTTTCCTAAACGATTATGTTGAGCTACAGAAAATCTATGGAAAATAATTAGACAACATGAGATATGACATGTGCAGAGTGGTGGATCCATAACATGAGCTTACCTTTACCGTTTCATTCCAACAAGGCTGCTTCACCTGGTAGTAAATGACGGACCTGTACTCCGTTATGCCATCATAGCCAGCGCCAGGAAATATTGCTTTCTGCACAAAATGAAAGGAGATTAGTTTTACACGACAACAATATTCATTTTCTTCGTGCTGAGCTTCAAACCCACTTTGGCAACAAGAAAAATATTTACAGCTGAAATATAAAATAATGGAAGCATAGCTGGAGACGTAAACCTGCTAAGAAAATGATTAAAACAGGAGCCGTGTGAGCAGGTCTTTTGAGACTGTGCTGAAATAGATGCTGCTGTTTTATCAGATAATTTATGTCACTCTCCATCTTATTCTGACATGTCAGCATGCTGCCGCAAAAGTAACTAAGGATAGCTAAGGCTGATGTCAGACTCATTAATTTTCCTGTTATTTGGCCATGAAAAGTAAATAAATCAGGGCTCTCACATGTTGATGGACCCACATAAAACGTGAACCACCTGACACGCTATCTATTAAGGGCATGCCACAGGAGTTATGGCTTATAGTCACAAAACCATGGACCAACTCCTCTTCATTCTAACGTTAGAAAGAAACAATTTAAGCAACAGACTAACCTGGTTTTAGAAACAACTAAAAAACACAATGAAAAATTTGTCTCACTGCATTATTATTTGTGTTTATATTCTATAATAATGTTGTGCATTATTTCATGTTTTATAATCAATTTAATTAATCAAATATTTGATGACCTGAGATTTTTATCAACACCCAAAAGAAAAAGGCAGGTGATAATGGTTTTCGCCAGTATTGTTAAACAAATTGCAGGTTAGAGACTCCCATGAACCAATGTTTAGAGAAACATAACAGAAACTTGTTTAAAACCTTTCTTTTTACACATACATATATTATTTAGGCTTTTAGAGTCTTTTTTGTGAGAAAGTAATTATTTTTTATTTTTTTGCCAAACCAAGTGACGTCAGCTGAGGGAGTCCTGTTAGCTTAATCCAGAGAAAAAATATGGATTCTAATGCAGCTCTGACACAAAGGAAACCTTTAATGTTTACAATTCTACTTATAATGGATCAAAACCATTAAGTTATGAGTTTGCTGCACATCCCAGAGAGCAGAGACAAACCAGAGGGAGAAGCAATCGGCCAAAGCAGAGAGATTGAGGGGAAGCAGCGGGGGAGCAGCAGGTGAGTTAACGATGCTAGCTAGCTTAAACTCGTGTGCCAACATCACATTATTGAACAGATTACTATCATGTACCAGACAATTACAATAGTATTGGTCAGTTAATATAATACTAATACTAACGAGCGTCTGTCAGCTGTCTCATACTCGTTAATATCCATTCACGTAACGTACTTTAGTGCTTAGAGAGAGGGAGAGAGACGCCTGTTATCCGGTTCTGGAGCTCATGCAGGCTTCTGTGAGCTGGATCTGACCCAGACACCAGCGAGCCAGTCCAGCTGGTATTTTTAAAAGCTGTGCATGATCCTCTCCTGGAGGTCTGCAGCAGTTCTGATCTGGTTCCGACGCAGAAACCAGCTCGACTGGCCCACTGAGCCACACGTCTCTTCTGGTGGTCAGTTCTGACCTGGTTCTGACTGTGATCCGAACTCCAAAAATCTGCATTTAACTTTTTAAACCCTGCCACGGGTCTCCGGAGCCCAGCGTGGACCTCCCTGTCCCGGTACCAACCGATGTGGGCTACAGATGTCCCGTCTTTTCAGCTGCACAAAACGCCCAAAGGCACGGAGATAGAGGCATTGTTCCTCTTATCTGGAAACCTGTGGACTCGATGTCCAGACAGGCTGGAGTTGGTACAGCCTTCACAAATGATAGTTTATCAACACGAACACAATCCAAAATTAGTTACACACACTGACTGGATAACATGACCTCTCTACCCTAAAACTACCCACTCTCAGTGAGCTGAGGCAGCCTAGCTTCGAACTGCCTTTGGTTACGTCAGAGGTTCAGATTTAGAAAAAAAGAGCCTTTTTAGAAGCTTTGCTGAGAAAGGCCACTTTTTATTTATATGAGTGGCCTAGTATATTTTATAAGTATTTTTGGACAGCATTTTATATGAATTAGAAAAAAATTTTTACCTGCAATTTGCTCTTTAAAGACCAAGTTCAATAATTTTTTTGGGTACTTTTTCAGAGGTCACTAGTATGAATGAATGCCTTGTGACTCGACCTCTGTGAGGGGGGTGCACCTGATTTGGGATGCCAGAGGAGTGGTGAGCAGAAGACAAGAGGTTTTGGATTCTTACTTCCTGATATTTACACCTCTGGTCTCTCACTGGCTAACAGCAATGTGACTCTACCACTGACTCTGTTTGCTCTGTAATAATGCTGCTTATCTCAAAGTAACAAGCCTGAAGGAATTCTGCCATATTTTGGAGATGCTATTGCTAATGGTTAGCTTCTACTAGACAAGACTCGCTCTGCTCTCTCCTGGGCACTAAAGCAACAGCCTTCCCCATCACAAACTAAGATGAATGCTTATTTTCAATGTGACACAGATCTAACTGGCTTTTCTAATCCAAGTGTTTCCTTGTCTATTTTCTATCAGCGACTAATGCAGGAAATAGGGAAGAAGACTATTTTCACATTCATAATCCACTTCTTGTGTTTTTCTTACACAGTTGTGTAAAAAATATATTTTTACCAGACATGTTTCAGCTAGTATCTCTAGCCATTATCAGAGATCACCAGTGTTGGTGGCATAATAATAAATTACAGGAATTGAGTTAGAGAGAGATGTGGATGGACCTGATAATCATTCATAACACACCCTTTGAGTGCCAACAGGCCTTGAAATACAATATAACATTATTTCCTGACTTGGATCCGAACAGCCATGATTCCATTTGTCAACTTTAGATGATCTCAAGTTTGAAATTCTGGTGTGAAAGGCAGTGGGCGATATGCGGTCCTACAAGGTCTTTAATTTACCGTGTTTTTTAGAAATGATTCTACCCAGATAATGTCGTTTATTCAGCCCTGAGTCATAAAACATCAACATTCAAAGAGAGGGAAGTTACATCTTAACCATACCTGTGTGATAGCACAAATAGTTTAATTATAAATGAAAAATCGACTATTTGTGGCCGTGACTCAGCTATTTTACCTCAATTGGATTGCCTTCATCATCATGCACACTCAGAATGACCTCTACATTTTTGGGGGTCTTCTTTTTGCCACGGTCAAACTCTCCCTGAAGCAAGGTTACGTAAATATCATTCCTCACGTTTCCTGGAGAAAGAACAGGAGATCATCAGGTGGATGGGCTCAGAATCCACACGCCTCTCATGGCTCTGTGCACAATTGAAATGAACATGATCACAGACAGTGTAGGGCAATGCCCAGCAACAAAGACTTTAATCCACCTGGGAGGATGATCTCTGGGAAGCCCATTTTCCTGACGATCGCTGTGCTGCGGTCTACAAAGTGAGGGAAGTCCTTCCTGACTTGAATGAGGTCCCCTGGGAGAAGCTTCAGGGTCACAAACAGCCCTGCCGGCAGACATGTTAAGAAATTCAATGAGGCAGGCACTAAAAGGGTACGTCATGCAGATCCCTCTCACACACACACACACACTACAAAACAAATAGGTTAATTTAGAGCAGCCCTCAAAAATCACAGGGGAGAGCTCTGTCTGTGAACACTTCATCGTACCCTGGCCTTTGTGATTGACCTCCCGCGTGGCAATGACTTTGTTGAAGACAGCCATGAGCGGCTCATTCTCTCCTATAACTCTAGAAGGAATGAGAGGAGACATGATGAGCTGCCTCTGGCGGATGTAGGTTTCCATAGCTATCCTGAGGGAGACATAAGGAATAAGAAATATCAGCTGCCACCATCTCTGACAGGTGACAAATAAATGGATGGAAGATCTCCAGAGGCAACGTGAGGAGCTCAAGAATTATTGGCAAGATGTACCATTATCCCTCAGAACGTGTCACTTACTTTGGGTGGCTACAAAAGAGAAACGCTAAACACCTTGAGTCCCACTAAGGTATAAGAATAAAGAAGATTATTTGAAATACACTATTAAATGATTAAAATAATATATCTAAATTTTCAGGACAAAAATCACAATTTTCACAGCAGCTCAAATACCTTTTTGCAATCCTGCAGTTTATTATTTTGTCTGCAAGTTGTCTAATCAGCTGTTGAACAAAGTGTCTTTGAGTGAATTTGCACATTTTAAATATTTAAAAACTGCTATGTTTACAATGTTTTATGTGTCAGACAATATCTATTGAGGGGATTTCTTAAATCTACAGGCCTGATTATTACCACACCGGTAGATTTAACAAATCACCTCAAAAGATGTTGTCTGACAACATGAAATAGGCTAAAAGATCTAAAACAAAGCAACACTTCATGCTCTAGTCTAAGAAGATTCAAGAACAAAAGATCCTGGAACTAAATCTGAAGCACCACAGACCTCACTTGGTTCAGGTTAAAGTCAAAGGTGGTTCAGCTGTAAAATGCAGGGATCAAACTTACATCCATGGGAAAGTTCTAAGGTCAAACTGTAGACCAAAAACAACATAACAGCCCATCTCACATTAATCAAAGACACACTGATGATCAATAGATTTTTAGAAATCATTTAGTGGTATTTTAGAATGTTCTAGAAGGTGTGTCCCATCCTATCACAGGGTTTTTCCTGGCTCAAATTGAGACAGAGGTGGTACCATCCCGACCATGCGCCAGCACATGCATACTCTGTGCATTCAACTGCCTCACTTTTTTAAAGGCAACATATTTTTTCATTAAGTGTTCTAATCTAAGCTTCTGTTGATTAATAGAATATTCCATTTGACAACGTTTCAAGTGAAACAAAACTGGTTTGCTGCTAAAAAATATGAAATAAAACAACAAAATTATCAGACTGAAATAACACACTCTTATTATGAAAGACTCAATAATATGCATTAGATTGGTGTTTAGTTCCCTTTTTCCCATCTGATATTTACAGTTAAAATATTTTTAAATATTTGACCTACATTTCAGTAACATTTTAGGTTTGTATTAATAACACTCATCTTAGTAAAAATAACATATAAATATATCCAGTAAAATATAATGCCTTTCATTAACATGCATTTGTGTTGGAAATGCTAATAACATTTAATTTCTGCTGCTAACAATGTAATGGTGGCATGTCAATTATGTACGGGTTGGCAATAATTCGGTTAAAATTATGTTCAAATATAGAAGCGTTTGTGAGTTATATTTTTCTGTGCGCCACTTGATCGTGAGACTGCTAACCGTTAGCTTTAGCATTAGCCAATCTGCGTGTAGCTGCACTTTTGATCCCAAACTTTGGACCGGTTCTGCCTTTGTGCCTTTGCTGGTTCCTTTATTTTCCTCCACTGCATCCAGATTACCACACTGTGCGCCAGTAAAAAGCATTTTTCTTACACGTAACTTACTTTTGTTCAATAAAGTTCTGGAGAAAATAGTAATTCAAAGATGTTGCACCAGTGCTACGTTTAAAAATAGGGCTGAGATCTCCGTAGATAAACTGTGGACAGTAAGATCTACAAAGAACGAGGAGTAACAGACTGGCTTTATTACACAAATATCAGGTACAACTTTATTACTATTATTGACAGCATTCACTGGGTTTGAACACGTCAGGATTTATAGCTGCTAGATCTGTTTAGATATGTTCACCTGTTCCCTCACCACCTCACACCCACAACACTTTTTGTTTTCTTTCTTCTTTTTTCCTTTTCTTAACCTTTATAATTCCTTTCTTTCCCTGTTTTATCTGCTTCTGGATCTTTACATCTGCATGGCACAATTAGCTTTTTTCTTTTTTCTACACTGCAGCAACACGCACACGTGCGTGCTCGCAGACACACACACACACATACATATATAGAATCCATACGCACAGTCACACACGATAAGTAGCCTAAGGCGTTTCAAAAACACTGTTGGGCTTGTCTTATTATTCTTCTTATTATTTATACTTAATCATTATCAGCATTAATATCTTTATATTAATATTGTTAAAATATGATCATTATTTTCAATATTGCTGCTACTATTATTTATTATTAATATTCAGAGGTGGAAAGTAACGAATTACATTTACTCACGTTACTGTAATTGAGTAGCTTTTTTGTATATTTCTACTTTTTAAGTCGTTTTTAAAAGCTGTACTTTTACTTTTACTTGAGTAAGTTTTTAAAAAATAATTGTAATTTGCTACATTTTAAATCATATCTGTTACTGAGTAAAAATAAATTGTTGACTTAATAAATAAAAAATATTGCATGTAGCAGCGTCGGAACAGAAAGAGACACCTGCATGAGCACCGCGTCTAAACCGTGGGGGGTGTGGGTGTACACTTTTGCTCAAAAACATCAGTCCCAGTGATCCACTCGCTGTTTACCTCCTCTCCTGGGTTGGAAGATGCACCTTCGCGCACTGGTGTTACGTCATCAGAATTCTGCTCGGTTCGGTAGCCAGACTCAGTTCCGTGTTTGAAATGTGTTTCACCGCTCCGCACGGAAGCGGCAAAATAACGTTTAGCACTCATAACAAGCGGATTTCCAGCGCTTTGCTCATAAAACAGAAGACCTGCAGGCCTCTGTGAGTCAAAACATCCTAATACTGTTTCAGGTGTAAACATTGTGCTCCATCCCTGTGTTTGAACTCAGAAGATGCTTCTTGATTTCACAGATATGTGATGATTTAGCTTGTTTCTTTATTTTACTCCAGAATAAGAAATTAAATTATTACAAAAGCAGTTCAATGTAGTTAAATTAGTCATGACGTGTGTGTGTGTGTGTGTGTGTGTGCTACACATGTAGGACTGAATGAGACAGCATGGTTTCATCAAATCCATGCATCCTATATCTTGGCTGAAGTAATGGCTCAGGAAAATAACATAAACTTCATAAATAATGACGTCTCTGCAGTGTTTATGATGATATTTTATTTTATATTGTACCTATCTTTGGTCTGGGAGGTGGAACTTATCATGATACAAGCCTTTTAAAACATGTTAGTGTTACAAGAAGAGATGGATGAATTTGAAGTACATGTTTGGAGACCAACCTTCACAGTTTGGAGGCTCACGCTGGTGAGGAGACACCATTAGTTCTAGTAACACCTGGGCTCCCAAGGCCTGTTCTGACAGGATGGACGTTACGGGACCCTTAAGGATTCCAGTTGGGTGATTGGAGGATTATTTAGGAGGATTGGAATGAACAAACTGATTTCAGTGGTGAAGGGTTAAATGAGTGAGTGAACCCACTACCAAGGATGAACTCTGCTAACTTTAAAAATCAGCTGCTCTAAATAAGCATGAAGGTCAGAGAGGAGCTCTAGGATGGACATGGATAAAGGAACTGTAATGTAGAGGTAAAGCAGGGCAAGGCCAGCGTTAACAGCTGTCATATGGTACATTAGAAATGTTTGACTTTCATTTAGCTTGTTATGCGACAGGTTAGAGCACAGTCCCATGTTAGAGTTTTGTCAAGAGAACATTGAGATACCTCACACACTGATGGCATCTAAAAATTAACAATTTTTTTCTCAAAATAAAGAACAATTTTAATCACAATTGAAACCTACAATCCTAGAAAAACCTCGTCCAATCAATGTGCACGTCCTGTTCTCACTGATTGGATAGAAATCCCTCCATCAAACTGTGTGTGCGCGTGCACATGCAAGCGTGTTGTGAACTGGTGTTGTGGTTTTGCACTGATGTAGCCATCTTTACGCCGACAAAAATGTAACTAAGTAACTTTTACTTTGAGTACATTTTATTTACGATTACTTTTACTTTTACTTGAGTAAAAATGTAAGCAAGTACTTGAGTAAAAAATTATCAAAGTATTGGTACTCGTACTTGAGTAGGAAATTTTAGTACTCTTTCAACATCTGTTAATATTGCAAATGATAATGATTATAATGATGCCCTTATTACTTACTCTCTATTATTTACTATCAGATTAATGTATGCGTTTAATTACTTATTTTATCTCCTACACATGAAGGCGTCATATTCTAGCTACTCACACACACATCTATGGGTAGAGAGGATTATAAGACACCTTTCGTCAAACATTTTGACAGGTCTATTGTTCTTTGACCTTTCATTCCTATTGTTCATTTGACCCTTGACCTTGCCCCCCCTCCTATCATTAATCAAATGGACAGGTGTATTGTTCAATCTTTGCCCCCCTTCCGTATCATTAATCAAATGGACATGTGTATTGTTAATTGTCCAGATGGGCTAGACCCCCCACGCCGCATCATCAATGGCGTATTGTTGAGCGTCCATGATCCCCACGTCATAGGCTAATGTGTGTAATGGTGTGTGGTTTCTTTTTTGTGATAGCCCATCGGTTCCCACAGCCCCTCCCTTCTGAGTGTAATCCTATTGTGTTTAACTCTTTAAAAGCTCAGATCTGTCCGAATGGTGAAAAGCCGAGCTCTAAGAAAAAATGATGAACCACGAGGAAGAGGTGCCTACTACATCCGACGCTTCAACTTCAACTCAAAAAGTGAAAGAAGAGAGCGTGGATACGCCGCTGTCAAAAACCATGCTTTGTGAAAAATCCATCGCTATACATCAGATGCCGGCTGGAATTGGTGCCCCCCGCAAATCTACATTTTACATCTGCAGAGTGCAGGTTCCTCCTTTCGGCGGTAAAGAGATCTTGGAGCAAATATGGCAGTTGGAACCTTACGGCTATACCGGTAGTTTTGGGTACCGGTTCAGCTACGACACTAAGGAACTGTGTTTAATCCAAGATGTGGCTGAGGGCGAACCTCTTAAATCCTA